CGTACGTACGTGATACTTTCACGTACGTACATGATAAGTTTCACGTACGTACATGATAAGTTTCACGTACGTACATGATAAGTTTCACGTACGTACATGATAAGTTTCACGTACGTACATGATAAGTTTCACGTACGTACATGATAAGTTTTCTGTTTCACGTACGTACATGATAAGTTACACGTACGTACGCGATAAGTTTCACGTACGTACATGATAAGTTTTACGTACGTACATGATAAGTTTCACGTACGTACGTGAAAAATATCAGTATATCACGTGTTTTACTGCGTGCGTTTAGTTAGTCGGGTTCCCAGACCAAAACATTCTGACTATTCCCGATGAATCTTAGGTCCGGTAGCCTCCGGTAATACATTGTAATACAATTTACGTCACGTGACTAAAACGGGAGGAATTCCTCCTTTTTTCCCAAAAATGTCGGAATTTGCCGAATTCGTTTCGTCGACAATCGGATAGCGCCCGAGTATTTCCGAATATAATATAGGTTTAATTATCTGCTAATTGCTTATTAATTTTTTTTTAAGAAGAATTCATAATTAATATTCATTGCTTTCATTTAGAAATCTTGATATTCAACGACGATTTTGTGCATCAAATATAATCGGATCGTATGGGCGAACTTTTTGCTGCGTCATGTACAATTTTGAATTTGACGATTATTTACTGAGATTTTCCAAAACTCTGTCTTCATTCGGCTCCGCCTGCTAACAGTGCTATTTTGGGTGCCTAATTTTGAAGATTCCAGATCAACATTAGTCAATGTTATCTTACAAAAACATCAAACTGTATTAGCATAACTGTATGATATTACGAAGCAAGTGATTTATTTAAAAATTTGATCAAAACATTAAAAGCTAAACGTGATAAAGCGAAATCGGAAACGAAGCCGAGCTTTGAAAAAGGGCCATCAATGTCGTCATGTTTATTTTTAGCCACGGAGGCTGCCTGACCTAAGATTCATCAGGAATAGTCAAAATCTTTTGGTCTGGGAACCAGACTAACTAAACGCACGCAGTGAAACACGTGATATACTGATAGTTTTCACGTACGTACGTGAAACTCATCGCGTACGTACGTGAAACTCATCGCGTACGTACGTGAAACTCATCGCGTACGTACGTGAAACTTATCACGTACGTACGTGAAACTTATCATGTACGTACGTGAAACCTATAACATATCACGTACGTACGTGAAACTTATCACGTACGTACGTGGAACTATCACGTACGTACGTGAAAAAAAATAAATAAATGTGTGGCGGTAATACGTTTCCGTACTATCGTACGCAACTTACAAAATGCAATTGAAATTTGTATTACACCTTTGTGTAAACATGGGTGGATTTTCCTTTGATGTTTCAATCAAAAGTGAATAACGTTTGAATGAGGGAAGAACAACTTTAGCATTAATATTATTTGCTCGATATCTTATTTGCAGACTCGTTCTGGAGAAGAATTTTCCAGCACATTAGACTTTTGGTTTCGGCGTAAGCCAGAAGTCAGTTCCCGAGTGAAAGGGTGTGCAACCAATTCCCAGCTTTTCGTCATGATGGATGTTCATGGTCGGGGCAGTATATTGTTGATGTACCCCAACATGGCGCGACCCCTATAACGTGGCACACTTTGATTTTTTGCCTGTAGCGCCTAGCTAGAGTAAAAGTTTAATTCAAATTTCACAGAAAGAGAAATTTCATTTAGTTCTAAACACTCCCGTTGATAACTCTCGAGTTTATCTACCTGTTACAAAGTTAGAAGAAACATTTAGTTCGGCGTGATTTTCCGATTTATTTCGAAGTTAACAGTAAACCCATTGAAATGCCCCCCAAAAATAAGAAAATAATTTTCTAACAAATATTTAGTTGGCTATGTAAGTAGAGATAAAAAATGGTTATCAGAATTTATCAACTTTACAGAAATTCTTAAATGTTAATTTGAAATTTTCCGAGATTTATTCAAGTGCGCCACGTTGGGGAACACTCAGACGATTTTGTGCCCAATTTCCGGACACCACCGTGTTTTTTTTTAAATTTCGGATTAAATTTCATGACACCGAAATTGTTCACAAACGTGAAACAGCATGCCTTATTAAGGCTGTTTTCAACGCACAATTTTTGCTATTGGTTTTTACTAGTTATTCGGTTAAATTCTTGTTCTGAGTTTTGTTGTATACAATTTTTTTTTTCAGTCAATAAATTCTTTTTGATTTTTTTTCGGCAACTTAGAATTAATCCCATGTAGTATTAATTCAATTCCTTGCGACTTTTACTTCCCTTAAGAAACTGAGATAAGTAAAGTTTGGTTAGTTGTTGGTAGACCTTGGCAATGCTACTGTTCAGAGCGATCATGCGAAAGTTGGGCGGCAGCGATGGGTCTCCTTTCTTGTATACAGGGTGGTTAAAAAAAAGGACACCCACATTTGACAGCAATTTTCACCTATTTTTAAACATTATTTTTAACTGTCGATTAGTAGCTATTAAAGTACTGGCCTTTAAGCAATTGTGACGAAAAAAATCGTTACATTTGCACATTGTTTCGTTGAGCTATGCTAATTTGAACATTTCATGTGCGAAACCTGTTTGTCCACGGAGGTATACATTCCCTTCGCTTGACTGAGCTCAGCTATCGGAGCTTTATTTAAAGGAGCATGACATTTGATTGTTATGTTATGTTATGTTATGCAACAATGAACTTAACGCACAGCTCATTGAGTAGATGATCTTAACTGTGACATGAATAATTGGACAGCTTCAATAAAAGTTACCAGGGCAAAATATATTTTGGTGGGAAGGTTTTTAATTTTTATGAACTACGAAAACATCCAATTTACAAAGAATAACCCGTGGACAAGACTGATTTTTGGTGACCTGTATTCAAATTAGCATATCTCTATTTTTGCGACTATTACTAAGCTTTTTTCACCATGCATGGTTAAAGGCCTATAATTTACTATGTTGTGAAAAAAATATTTAAAATAACTACATTAAGTTGGTGAAAATTGCTGTCAAAAGTGGGTGTCCTTTTTTTTTAACCACCCTGTTGAAGACTTACTTGGCAGCAGGAGCGGGATATCGGTGGAGTTCCACTTTGCAATATTTTGGTGAACAGTGTGGCCAGTAGGACCTAGATGGTGTGTTGCTGGCAACTTCATTCCTGACAGTGTACGTGGCGGGGCCAAATATTAATTGTAATTACCACGTGGTTTTCTGTGTTAAGTAAAGGAGAAGTTCTACGGGATGAATTTATCATGGGAGTTTAGTTAGGCCTATGCCCTTCACTTGTTTTTAGTAGCGTGTCTCCCTGTTTCCAGTAGTCAGACCTCATAGAAATGACACCCATGTGCCCTGCGTTGATAAGGAACCATATGCGTTGCCCAATCTTGACCTCAGCCAGACCATCAGAGATGAGAGTACAATGTGCATGTGCCCCTTACACTAGACGCCATGCTAATTAATTAGAGTGGTGTGTCGATCCTGTTCGGGTTCTAACACCATCAAGTAATTGATTTTTAGCCAGATTGTACTTTAAGATAAATCATTTTACACTGCTTTTTGGTCTTTTCTGGTGATTTTTTAACATACTGCTTTTGCTTTTAGTTTTAGTTTTTTTCTGTTTAAGTCTTGTTTCAGTTTTGCTGTAGGTTTTTTCAGTCAATAAAGTCTTTTTGATTCTGGTTTGGCAACTAAGAATGACTTTCATGTCTCTATTCATTCAATTCCTTGTGACTCCTCCCTTAAAAAAATCAGAGATTAGTAAAGTTCGGTTAGTTATCCCGATAGAGAGTTTCTTTTGGGCGTGTTCCCCCAGTTTCCAGAATACACAAGCATCACGGAAAAATTGTGGTTGTAGCAACCATTCTCAAGAGAATAAAGTGATCAAGGGCGTATCCAGAACAAAATTTGGGTGGGGGCCAGAAGTAATTTTCGTCCCTCAAAAAGTGGGTCAAAAAATTATGGCGTGGGGTGCGGGCCCGCTTAAGGGCCCGAATTTTGTTTTGATTCTAGATGCTCTGTGGTGCGATCTGAGGCAATTTCCTACCACAATTTCTGAACATTTTTTTTTGAGGAAATGATGGTGGTGTACGCAGTACCTGCCTTTATTGCGACGTCACTTAAAAACAAAATTTGGGTTCTTTTTTTTGGGGGGGGGGCACGGCCCCCGTTGGCCGCCCCCCCCCCCGGAACCGCCCTTGAAAATGGTATTATTACATCACTTCTCGTAATGTTAACAATGACATTTTGTAATAGTGAAAGTACCGTGCAATATTTCACAGTAAAAGAGTTAAGAAATGCAAAAGAGTATCACCCGTAATAGAATAAAATATAAACCAATAATATGCAAAAAATAGAAACTGATTCAAAATAAAGCTTTAGCCGCCATGAATGACATACGGTACGTTAAAGTGCTATATAGTTGGATATGTTTGTAACCTGTGAAATCTCAAACCTTGAATTGACGAGTTGGCTTTAAACAGTATATAAGTCCCGTTGTATCCTGAGCATGATGGGACGTATTTCTATTGAAATGCCCCAGAAGATTACCGCGCGACCAGAAATATATCGGTATCCGTGAAACTGAATAGGGCTTGATAGCTCAGGTGGTAGAGCAGGCCGGAACGACAATCCAGGGATCGCAAACCCTGCTTCAGTCAATTTCCTTTGTTCCTTTTTTAATTTTTTTTATTTCCCTTAGTCAGTTTCCCTTTGTGGTTTCTTTGAAAAATAATTATTTTATACATTCATAAACATTATGTTTACCCCTGCTCAGTCACCTCGCCCCTGCATATTACATCCCATCCCAGCTGAGGAGATTATGCAGTATCCCACCAGAACCAACACCAGAACCATGACAAAGTTAAATACCGCCACCTGTTGGCCATCATATAAATGGGCTAACTCCCGACGAAGTAGACTGGTAACCCTACCTCAGCATCTGGGGACTGATATTTAGGTCTGAAACCTTTTTACAACGTACAATGTCAAAATGCACACGAGAAAGTGTTCGCACAACAATCTCGACAATGGCGACGAGCGAGAATGATCGCCTGAGATCTTCTGTCAGCAGTCACGGCAGTATGGATGGATCGGGTATAAAACAAGAACCTTTTCGTTCCAAAGCGATTCTACCGTGGGATAGACTGTCCAACTGGCTTCATTGTGTCTGCGTTGTTACGTTTGATTTGGAGTTAGGGCAAGCTTTGGAGGTAGGATAGTCCGAGTAACTTGGACCAAACTAGCCCCATAAATGTGGCCTATTTACTGGACTGCCTCCGTAAACATAGGCCACACATCCACATGTACAAAAACGTGTCGATGTTGTGCCCATTCTTGAAAATCACGCATTCTCGAGAATGGGCATGCACATTCTTGAGAATGTGCAACTGGATCCTTGCTCAATCTTGGCAAAAAATAACTCTTCCAGATTGAGCGCACATTCTCGAGAATGCGCGACAAGATAACGGTCTTGTCGATGCCGAGCACCGGCTGCGCTTGGCAAGTCTAGCTGAATCCTCGTTCACTGATTCTCAATAATTATACTGTTGCAACGCAAGGCGCTGAAAAGTAGAGTGGATATGATAAGTAAAGGCGTATTAATATGGGGGGGGGGGGGGGGGGACCGGGAAAATATAAGAGACATAATAATACTAGTGCAAAGAATTCTGATTTTTGGGATAATAAAAGCAGGGGGGGGGGACGTAAGAATGAAGAATGTGAAGAATGAGAATGAATACTGCGACATCCCATAGTGCTAATGCTATTTCCCATTTAAATTTCCACCAATTTATTGTTCACATCCCACCATAACGTCGCAGAGCTGGATTCTATCTAGTCAAAAGAGCAATTTTGGCAGCTTCTGGACATCGTTTTTTTTTCGTGGCACGCATATGATACATGCAGGGACTTGTAACTTGTCTAGCCTAAACAAAGCACTTCCTACTCCTAGAACTATGAGGCTCCACGTAGTGGAGCCTCATAGAGTCAGAAGCCCGCAAAATTGTTGTCAACACAAAACACTAATTAAGTACAAAAACGTCCATTCCAAATAAGCTATTTCCCACAGAACCGCTGCACAGTTTGCCCCTAAACTCCGTACAATACCTCATGACATACTCACGTTATGTGCACCCAACAAACATCGGTGGATTCTGTCTGTTTTAAGGCCAAAATGATGAAAAATATGCCCTTTCCGCACTGAGCCAACCTAACACTTGAAGCGAGCACGCGCGCTGATATCGCAGTCATTTTCGGGTTCGATGCTCGGAGCGCGCTGCGGGGGGTATGGTGTAGGAGCGGATTGATAGTATGCGCATGCGTAGAAGTGCAAGTACGTACCCCCCGCGGCGCGCTCCGAGCGATCGAACCCGAAAATGACTGCGATATCAGCGCGCGTGCTCGCTTCAAGTGTTAGGTTGGCTCAGTGCGGAAAGGGCATATTTTTCATCATTTTGGCCTAAAAACAGACAGAATCCACCGATGTTTGTTGGGTGCACATAACGTGAGTATGTCATGAGGTATTGTACGGAGTTTAGGGGCAAACTGTGCAGCGGTTCTGTGGGAAATAGCTTATTTGGAATGGACGTTTTTGTACTTAATTAGTGTTTTGTGTTGACAACAATTTTGCGGGCTTCTGACTCTATGAGGCTCCACTACGTGGAGCCTCATAGTTCTAGGAGTAAGCACTTCCCAGACTAGTTCCCAGTCCTCCGTTATTACAAAACTTCCCATAGTGGGCAGAAAAAAGCAATAATAACAGGTTTAATTTGATTCAAATTATCGTAGTTATACGAGTACAGAAGCATAGCACATTTTCTTTCCTCTTTATATGAATTGTTTCCCTTTTAACCACTATACAATTCATTTAACATAATTATGTCGTGCAATGTTTGTTAAGATTGGGCAAAATTCATAAATTGTGCACGTGATATTCCCACCCAATCTTAAGAATGAGCGCTCATTCTTAAGAACGCGTGCTCGTTCTTAAGAATGGGCGCTCATTCTTAAGAATGCGCGCCCATTCTCGAGAATGTGCATGCCCATTCTCGAGAATGCGTGATTTTCAAGAATGGGCACAACATCGACTTTGCCAAATTTTGATTTTCACATTTTAGGCTTAGTTTGTAGTTTATTTTTGCTTTCGAAGCATACTCACCCTCTTTATAGGCTAATCAGAAAGTGCTGCCTTTTTCAGATGTATATTTTTCGTGAAATTTCCAGATTCATTTTTACACGTTTGCGTATCAAAATTTCAACATGAAATTTCACAAAAATTAGACATCTGAAAAAGGCAGCACTTTCTGACTAGCCTATAAAGAGGGTGAGTATGCTTCTAAAGCAAAATAATCCTACAAACTAAGCCTAAATGTGAAAATCAAAATTTGGCAAAGTCGACACGTTTTTGTACACGTGGATGCGTGGCCTATGTTTACGGAGGCAGTCCAGTAAATAGGCCACATTTATGGGGCTAGGACCAAACTAGCCCCATAAATGTGGCCAGTTTACTGGACTGCCTCCGTAAACATAGGCCACACAGCCGCCATCTTGGAATCTGAGTCGGCGAAATTTTGAAAGTGATTTCCACATTGCGACTTCAGACCCAGTTCATTTATGCTTTAAAAATACACTCACCCTCTTAATAACAAAATTTGAACCTGCTGCCAGTGTCAGTTGCTCAGCTGCTGCGTAATTTACGATTATTTCTGGAGCCTTCTTGGCAACTTGGATTCTACCTCCATGGTCCAACTGAACAATGCCCTCGCGCAATATGCGATATGCAGGGATATCGTTCACCTGTCAATCACGCGTGCAGGTGGCACGCCGCAGGCCGGGTGGTAGTCCGGTTCCCAGACCAAAAGATTCTGACTATTCCTGATGTGTCTGAAACGGGCTTCAGAGCTACGGCTAGGTCTATTGTCAGCGCGTTCTCACGTATTTTCAATGGGCGTGGACCTAGACCTAGCTCTAGACAGTTGATTCGGATGCTGCCTTATTTAGACGTGAGCGTCGGGAATAATTGTCAGGTCTGGGAACCAGACTACCACCGGGCCTGCGGCGTGCCTCCTGCACGCGTGATTATTGACATCGACAGGTGAACGATCCCTGCATATCGCATATTGCGCGAGGGCATTGTTCAGTTGGACCATGGAGGTAGAATCCAAGTTGCCAAGAAGGCTCCAGAAATAATCGTAAATTACGCAGCAGCTGGGCAACTGACACTGGCAGCAGGTTCAAATTTTGTTATTAAGAGGGTGAGTGTATTTTTAAAGCATAAATGAACTGGGTCTGAAGTCGCAATGTGGAAATCACTTTCAAAATTTCGCCGACTCAGATTCCAAGATGGCGGCTGTGTGGCCTATGTTTACGGAGGCAGTTCAGTAAACTGGCCACATTTATGGGGCTAGGACCAAACATATCGCCTTTTTAACATTCGGACATGGTCTGGCGATAGTAAGGTCCAAGCTAGCCCCATAAATGTGGCCTATTTACTGGACTATAAAAGTATCGCCGTAAACATAGGCCGCACATCCACATGTACAAAAACGTGTTGCACTTTGCCAAATTTTGATTTTCACATTTAGGCTTAGTTTGTAGGGTTTTTTTTGCTTTAGAAGCATACTCTAAACTTTATGCAAATTGCTTGTCGAGCGAGGGCGCGAGTTGCAAATGCGACGGCTGTTTCCTGTGCCGTGGATCCTGAATAGAGATCAGTGCACGTGGCCCCCAGACGATTAAATGCATGGTACAGGAAACAGCCGTCGCATTTGCAACTCGCGCCCTCGCTCGACAAGCAATTTGCAAACGCGACGTCACAGCTTGAGGTCATCTCTTGTCACATTCAAAATGGCTGCCATCACCAGACGTTTCTCGAGTGCATATGGGCTCCAGAAAGATTCAAGAATATCTCGGAAAATTGAACATCATTACACCTAAGCATCCCAGAAGTGATAGATGGGACATCATAGAATACAACCATATGTAAGAAACTGACCGAAATTTTTATGAAAATGCCCTTAGTAGTGCGCGGTACCACGGTGTGTGGCCAGAGGTTCAGAGCAGCATACCGCGGCCACACTAGTGGGGCTATACTGAAGTTTACTTACGATCCGGAAGAAAAGTGAAATTTCCCGTTCAATTCTGAGAGCTCCCCCTTGCGATCTTGAACACGTTAAATTTCCGACTCGTGTTAATGTTTGAACGACGCGATTTCTTCTTCATGCCCAGCGTACATTCGATGGTCCCCGTATCCCGAGTGCGATTCCGTTACCGAGCGCGCGCGATGCATCGATTATGATAATGAGTAGACTGGATCACGTTTGTAAACACATGTGCATTTCGAACGATAATAGGGAGTCGGGAACTAGCGCAGCTTTTATGGCGGATACCAGTTCAAGCTGGTTCCCGATTCCCTTTCACAGTTCGAAATGCACTTGTGTTTACTAACGTGACTCATTATCATAATCGATGCATCGCGCGCACTCGGTAACGGAATCGCACTCGGGATACGGGGACCATCGAATGTACGCTGGGCATGAAGAAGAAATCAAACATTAACACGAGTCAGAAATTTAACGTGTTTAAGATCGCGAGGGGAGCTCTCAGAATTGAACGGGAAATTTCACTTTTCTTCCGGATCGTAAGTAAACTTCAGTACAACCATCTTAATCATCGATGTCTACTTGTACCTCAGGTGGCATATTTAGTAATTTGGAGGCCGTTTTGAGGGTGAAATCGGATGTTTTTTGTTGGAAAATGTTGGTTTTTGGGACAGTGACAGGATGATGTTGTCCAGCTCGCACTATTAGCTTGGACCTTACTATCGCCAGGCCATGTCCAAATGTTAAAAAGGTGATAAGTTTGGTCCAAGTTACTCGGACTAGAGGTAGGATAGCTCTACTCAGACTAGTACTGAGTGTGTAGACCCGTGAACGTGGCGTTGTATACTGAGTGTGGAGCGTTGAACTACGGTATCCTCCGTATACGTACTAACGCTCCGCCGATTTGCCTAGGCCGAGTAACTTGGTCAACAGTGCACTCATGCAGGCGCATTTCAGACCGATGATTATGAATGACAGGCAACAGCCGTCGATGCACTTTGCCAAAGTTGAAGTCCAGTATTTACAAAATGTAAGCCACATTTACGGAGATAGTGGGGATAGCTGTGTATGGGGAAAAGTTGTGTTTGAATCGGACAATCAGTCTGAAGATATCGCTAAAAATGCGACGCAATGCCCAAGGTGCTCCATTCATGGTACATGTACATACACATGTACCTCTGTGTGCGAATCCACATACATCCAGGTCATTTGCACTTTTCTCAACTCAGACAAAAGGACTGACTTCTTTTTTCCTGTTTCTGTGCATTCTGATAGGTTAAAAACCTACCGCGTGACCTTATTTTCATTCGGGAATCTCCGATGAACTTTATGTGTGAGATTCACATCGAACAGCCAATTTGTACATTATTTTCTACATGTGTGCGATAACAAAATAGAAGTTGTGATGAAAATACGGGGGAAAAGACACTGTGCATCCAACTGAATGCTGGTAACTAGCAAAATTGGACATTTGAGCTTCATTTCAGAAACTGTATGTGAGCCAACAGAAATAGTTACGAATCAATGTTTTGAGTGCTGAATAGATTGTTGTACAAATCAAGTAAGAGCAGAACGGATCGCGCTGTGTCAGTGACGCGACGTCATGCGGCGTTCGTTTATTAGTTAGTTGAACATGGACAGTGTGCCACTGCTAAATAAAGAAAAATAAGATTACGTACTGCATTTTTATTCACATAAAGGTCACCAGTTATTGTCTTCAGAAAAGTGAAATATCTCCACTGGTACTCATGGAAATGTACATGTACTAGACCACAATGCCTTGACATGCTTGAAGCCTGATGAATGATGATCTCAGTATTCTTAGTTATGAATTGTAGCTACCGGTACTATTGTTGAAACCAATCAAGCTTCAGTTGGGATGTTGTCATAGTTTAGGCATATAAGGGTCTACTCCTAGAACTATGAGGATCCACTACGTGGAGCGCATATGATCCAGCGATGATTTTCGGTTTGCTTGGAGCGCACCGCGGGGGGTACGGTACAAGCGAAATGATAGTATGCGCATGCGTACAAGTGCAAGTACCGTACCCCCCCCCCCCCCCCCCCCCCCCCCCCCCCCCCCGGCGCGCTCATGTTGTGTCAGTTGTCAGGTTGGCTCAGTACGGAAAGGGCATATTTTTCATCATTTTGGCAAAAAAAAACCCGACAAAACCCAGCAATGTTTGTTCTGCGCATATTACGTGAGTATGTCATGAGGTGTAGTACGGAGCTTGGGGGCAAACTGTGCAGCGGTTCTGTGGGAAATGTCTGCATTTTGATGGACGTTTTTGTACTTAATTGGTGTTTTGTGCTGAAAATGATTTTGCGGGGTTCTTAATCGTGGAGCCTCATAGTTCTAGGAGTAATAAGGGTCTACCGGTACTTCAAAGTACCAGCATGTAAGCTAATCATTGTACAAGTTCTTGGCACTTGGCATACAGTCAAAATGATTCTGATACAGGTAAGGAAAGGCAGGATTTTTCTTCAATTCAAGATCCATTCATGATTTTCTTTTATTAAGCAAAATCTATTCACATACATATGTACTTTTCTGTTTTGTCTTACAGTTTGTTTATCCAAACCATGTGAAACTCTCTGAAAAAGAGGTATGTATTATTGTAAACCCTTATAATTTCATCTACATGTAGTATTGATAGTTGATTTTTATCATCAAACTTTTTTTGTCGCGCCTGAATGAAGTTCAGGTAAGAGATCATGCAATCACTATGTCTGTCCGTGTGTACAAACTTTCCAGCGAATGTATGGCTGTCGGTTCATGTACCTGTATGTTCCGGTACAAATGTATTTTGGTTAAAGTTTCGAAAAATTGGTCTCATTTCAAAAGTTGAAGTCCAATTGGAACCAAACTCAGGTCCTAGATGCAACATGGCAACCTTTATATGATAATGATGTCAAAGGTCACATACCCAGTTTAAAGGTCATCTGCGGTTAAGTTGTAAAATAGCCTGAAAATGTAAAGTTGGTCTCATTTGAAAAATTTGAAATATCCAATTGGAACCAATCTTGAGTCACATATATATGCATCATGGCAACCTTCACGTGATAATACTGTCAAAGGTCACATACCAAGGTCAAAGGTCATCTGAGGTCAAGTTGCAAAATAGGCTGAAAATGTAAAATTGAAACGGGCGAGATGCGTGGTTGGAGAACCACCTTGTTTAGTTTTGTGTGTAATAATATATAGGCCTACCTTGCTTAAAAGGCTGAAAGAGTATGTGTTGTTTGATGCATACATGTCCTCAGTTTTGTTCGAAATGTTGTTACAATGTATACAATAGAGTCACTTTAAACTTAAAGAGCGCCCTCTGTTTTCTTGAAATAGCCAAGAGCTCTCAAACCTCATGATCACCATTTGTGCTTGCTCTGCTCAAATTGGAGACCATTGTGAGCACTGCTCCTGTTTAAAAAAAAAAATTGTATAATTTTAGACGACTCTACATTGTATTTTAATTATTTTGAACAATGGGAGTGGTTGAGGCTGGTTGCTCCCCACATTCGAATGGAGTGATTGGGAACCAGTGCGTAGCTCCACTTTTTTGTACAGCTCGGAATGGCCGACGATTTATCCACATGTTTTTACGTGGAGATTAGTGCTCCAAATGTTGCCATTATTTCTTGGCTGTCATCATTTTAGTTTCATTATTGTTATCAACGTTAAAAATGGTACAGATGATCGTTTTTCCTTTTTTATTTCAAACTTGATCAAGAAAAGCAGTACTCAATAAACAAAAACTAGGGTATAGCGCTTACCATGGCCATATTTTGTCGATACTTTCAGTTTCAAATGGTTGATTGCGGAGAAATTGAAGTTTCTTCTACGCACGTCCGGAATTGATTGCGTCTTTATCTGACTGGGCCTGGGTCAATCACCGGCACAATGGCCAATCATGTACTATACATGTACGTGAAATGCCGAGGTGTTCCTCAAAATGGTTGTATGATTCTACATGTAGGTGATTGGAGCAAGGCCGTTTTCCAACCCTGGTTTCGGTCCCTACATGTATCTGCAACTTTGCACGTTGCATGTACCGTCACCGTTCACATTCGCTTGTCAAAAATTGTCAGCCTGTGAAGAATTTGTGGCACTTTTGTGCCAAGTTGTAACTTGTTGTAATCACAAAATATAGGCCTATCGTCTGTATCCACTGTCGTGCAGTTTACCGGTAGCTTCAAGGTTCACAATGAAAAACATTGATTTGAGACTGCTTGTGCAGTTTAAAAGGAGATATAGTTCAAATTATTCAATTGAAAAATGCTTACAAAGACGATCCCTAGTTTGTATCACAAGTGATTAACAACTACACAATTTTTGGCTTCAAGCATAATGTACTAGTACTCGTACCCGTATTCGGAAATATAAGTACTCGTACTCGGAAGTACAAGTACCGGTACTTGGGGCGCTGTGGTTCAGTGGTTACGGTGTTCGACTCGTGTGCCGTGGTACATTACATGGGTTCGAATCCTGACCGTGGGACATGGTGCTTGCGCTCTTGAGCAAGGCACTTTACCATTATTGCTTCGTCCTTCGGATGGTACGTAAAGCCGTAGGTCCCGTGTGTTGTGTAATGCACGTTAAAGAACCCAGTATACACTTGTCGGTTTGCCCCGGTGTTTCTGGCCATGGCAGGAATGTGCGTCGCAGCACCTACATGTAGCAAAAAGGTCTCATAATGTTTATTTACCTGTCTTTGGTTGAATTCTCCCCCAGCGCTTTGTATCCTTTGGAAAAGGCGCTATATACGTTTATTATTATTATTTATTAAGTACTCGTACTCGGAGACTGTACAAGTACTCGTACTCGGAGACCTGTACTTGTACTCAGAAGTACTCGTACTCGTACTCGGCAACCTACATACATGTACATGTACTCGGCAGTACTCAGTACTCGGGGAAAAAAGTACTTGACTACAACACTGGCAAAAATAACACTGGTAATTTTCAACATTTACTACATGTGTACTATATATAATTTGCTACTGTTGGACAATCAGTTCACATTTTAGCAACTTTCATGTGAATTAATCCAATAAGGTCATTTGGAAGTAAGCAGAGAGCTGCGTGAACTCATTGATCAACTGGCATTTTTTGCTAATCTTTGACAATTGATGTCAACAGTCATGTAGGTAAAACCAAAGAGACTGTAACTTATTTGTACATATGTACATGTTTGTAGTTACCTGACAGTACTCAATTTTTTTTTTAAACCTCATTTAGTTGCAATGCAAATGTTGAGAATTTGGCCTGGAAATTTTTTTTGGGGGGGGGGGAAACATTTGTGCACTGTTTTATTTGCTCTATTTACAATGCTGTATCCTAACGTGTCCATCTTGGTACAGTTCCCTCACTGTCCATTGTGCATGACCCGACAAAACTGGTTCATTGAGGAATAAACTAAAGTCCAACCAAACATCTTATTTGAAGTGGCGTCCCAATCCAGTTATAGCAGTTGTAATGACATCATCGATGTCCTGGTTTGAATGTGCCTGTAACTTATCTCACATACTCAGAAGCACTGGTAACACTAAAAATCAATATCATTGATACAGTGTAGAAGTACAGCTGAAATGCTCAGTCTTGATTGAATTAGGAGTTGCAGTTTCTGTCTCACTTCCGGCTTCCACTTATTTTGATAAGCATCATTATTGAATCTTCATAAGAGGTAGTCAAGTAACGGTATGTGCATCTACTTTCATTTATGTAAATGCAGAGATTTGCATAATTTGTTAACTTATATAGTACAAGCTCCAGCCTATATTTTTTGAAACGTGATCAGCATAAGAGCTTACTATACAACATTTGCAAACATCAAAAACAAAATGAAAACCCTTACTTAAGACTGTAATGAATAATAGTCTCAAGCATCCCATAAGATCATGGCATCTGGTGTGCTGACATTTTCAAGTGGGATATTTGTATCAATTTCCAGTGACGGTTGGCCGACCATCGTTGGAAAAAAAAGGTGATTTAAACAAAAAGGTACTGTCCCAAATTTACCATATTTAGGACATAATTTTTTCTTTGTTTTTCCAGTATCTACAAACAATGTATAAACAAAACCTTTAAACAGGTCAGTCTATGGTAACAATAAAATACTATGAACCTCCAAATTCACAAATTTCTGAAAATTATAGCGCAAGCAAATGTTGTATAATCTTTAACCCTTACTCTCTGAGGGTAGTTTACTGCATGTCAGTTGGTTATGCCAATGCCCTCCAGCTGCAGTTATTTGGCAGATAACAAGTCTTAACAGTGAAGGCTCCAATTGGCAGGAGTTGGAGGCCCTGGAGGGTGCCTGATACTGACCAGCTGGGGGCACTCACTTTGTTATCAGAGGACTCTCATTGTTCTCTGTGGCATGTATTGGAGTGCCTGTCCAGTTACCCTTGAAATGACATGGCAGATATTGGAGGGCCATGCACAAAACATAGGAGATTTTCTTAAGACACATATTGGCATGCGTTGGAGGGTCTAGTAGGGTAAGGGTTAAGTACTGAAATTGCATCTAGACTAAAATTTACTGCAGTGTGCTCTCTGAAGTAGAGTGTGATTGATTGTTAAGAATTCTCTCACACGATGTTTATCACCATTATTTGTCATACATACATTTATATATTCCACAGTAATGGGCCCAAAAGTGTGACATTTGAGAAGACCTTTTGAGTTTTGATAATAAAACTAGGATCTTAGTCTCTCAACTTTTGCTGTAAACATTGCAAGCTTTGAAGAAATATCATCACCTGCAGAGGATAACTGGTTTTGTATTTTAGAAACTATGGTGGATATAGTTTTTAAAAAGACAGTTTTTAAAAGGACAGACATTTTAGATAAAGTCACAATGTAAGCATAACATTTAATAATCCCCTAATGTTGTCTGATTCAAGAAGACGTACCCTGGAGGAATGCCATCAGCTAAAACCTAGAAAACTCTAGAGTCACAAAATGTCTGTCCCTGTTCGTACGTAACCCTAATCACATCATAACTTTGAAGCCAGTGCAAAAACTTTTTTATTTTCGTTTGATAGCAATGTGTATGTAACATGAAAGTGCCTATTAGAAGCTGAATTTGTCTTAAGCACCCTTTTCCTTGCAGCGTGTCTGTCGATGTTATGTAGGCCTATACGTAGCTTTGAATGAAATTAAAAGTAAAACTGAAACAGCTTGTTATCTTTAAGGACAGTTACCGGTAAATTACAAGTGCATGTATTGAAAGTGTAGGGCCTATACAAAAAAGAAAAAACAGAGGAAATTTTATCCAAAAAGACAATGACGTTAAGACACTGAGAGAAATGTTGCTAGAATTAACATACAACATTTATTTTTCAAGGGCAAATCAATTATTTAGACCCTTTTTCCAAGCATATCTAAATTAGTAAAAAAAAAGTACATGTACATTATGCAAGTTGCTTAATATGGCATTACGGCCTGAAATCTGTGAAAATTGTATGATTTTGATTGTTTATTTAAATCCTATTTCAAAGGGATGGTTGAAAGGAAACTTATTGTCTTAACCGAAAAGATGAAAAAAAAAACACTACGTTCCGGTACATCGGACGTGGCCGACATTTTGTGTTGCATACGCATACGTATTTCCAGCCGTATCCATATAATGTACGGTACACGTGTGTGTGTCACATAATACACACAGCACCTATACACAAATGTTGTTTCTCGCACGTTCCCAGTGTGCGATGCAGTGTGCAGCAGAATTCACAACTAGTACATGTTGTAGCACTCAACAGCTCGATTGTTGAGAGTCAACATTTTGGTTCTCGCAAGAATAACACAAAAACGCCTAGTTTTTAATGGATGGTTGTGTGGACATTTATCGTACTTTTAAAGGTAGAGTAAATCAATTGCAGCTATCCAAAAAGTGTGACAAAATTATTGTTGAAATGCTTACCGGTACTTGGTTAAATATAATAATGGCACTAAACTCCCTTACTCTTTCCTGGCATGCTGTCATTTTGAAGAAAACAATCAACTTCTCAGGCCATTTTCAAAGATGCGTCACTTATTGAAATTTCTGTTATTAGTTTCTTTGTTATTCGGCGAATCCGTGAATTGGTTGTGCAGGCGTTGACCACTTTTGAATTGAAATCGAGATCCTAAAATATTGTTTTCTCGGAATATACAGCATTCACAGAGCTAAAACTTCATCAGGTTAGTTTCTGTATCCGAATCTGTTAGCTTCTGTACAAACACCTGGTGTGGCTATCGCGTACAGCCTCATGGTGTATGTATGAGGATAACTGCCAGAAACACCGGGGCAAACCCCTTCTCTTAGCGATAAGTGTTTGCTGGGTTCTTTTACGTGCATGTATACAACACACGGGACCTACAGCTTTACGTCCCATCCGAAGGACGAAGCAATAATGGTTAAGTGCCTTGCTCAAGGGCACAAGTGTCCGGGCCGGGCTTGAACCCACGCCACTGTTGCCTCTGAAACACCAGAGCGTGAGTCCAGTGTTCTTAATTGCTAGGCCATCTCACCCCAAGTTGGTACATGTAAGCACCCCTCTTTAGATTTTGAGCATTTTTGTTCTTTCAAACAAAAAGAAATGATTCAAATGACAACTGATCTACCCTACCTTTAAATGCTCTTTCCAATTCACATCAGTTCGCTTAAAACGCGCTTTGTACATGTGTAGCCCAATTGGGCGCATTCAAGGACATAATGCCCTTTAAAAGAAGTTGTTGGTTTGTCTGTTCCTTGCTTTATGGTTGCTTTGACCCCACCTGTGGTGTTGAGTGGAGTAGAAACCCTGGCAAATAAACTGCTGCTGTTATACATTGTAGGATGCCCTGTACTTTGCACACATCAGCTTGGGAAAGTCACAGAAATCAGACATGGGTTCAGGAAAAATGCACATGTATGTACAGCACAAGCAGGCATACATGTACTTGTATTTGACCTTTGTTCGACCCCACATGATCTAAGAAGTAAAAATACGGGTACATGTGTACATGTATATGTATGTGATAAACAGCAGCTAAATGTTGTCTTTCCTTTTATTGGCAGGGTTGTTTGCATTGTACACATGTATGTGTAGCACACGATGGATTGTATTTTTGTTGATAATGACATTATTACTGTCATGATACTGTTGTGATACTCGGTGTATGTACCGACATGTTGAATCATGAGGTGTTTACTCCAAAACATACAAAAATAGTTTACAGATACCTGTGTATCGGATATTTTCCGTACGTGCAAATTTGATTATTTGTATAAAATGGATTTTGCGTCAGGTTGGTATATATTCATCATTGCCCTTCACCAGTGTATTTTATAAACACTGTACATTCAGTGTTGTTCAAGGGCTTGTAAGAAAAAAACCAGTGCGAGTGCAGAAAATAAACTCTGGCGAAAGATGCGACGCCGATGGCACATTATGGAACACCATACTTTTGGTCAATTTTGGGGGCATTTCCTCCTTCTAGATACCGTCCAACCACGACACAAAATGGCGTCCACCTTGTTGAAGATAAATGTTGTACAACGCAAGTGCAAGTGCACAATAAGCTGTGGCCGTGTTGCCAGAAGTTTTGCATGAAACTCTTGCATGAAATCGATCAAAATGATATTATATGTACTGCACCCGATTTCACGAAACTCTTCGTAACTTACGATGCGTCGCAGCGATGCGATGCATCGTATCCCTATGATGTGTCGCAGCTGCGACGCGTCCTGCGATCCATTTCACAAAACACGTCGTAAGTGCGACGCATCGTAAATAGTCGTCTGGTATTCAATAAAGAGTCATCTGATCTCCGCTCCAAATTTGTTAAAACGTATTACAAAATGGCGGCCGTGCGATGCAATTTTAAACGAAAACAAGCTCTCAGTGGACTGTGTAGCTACTTTGAAATTTCAACTGCAATATTCCAGGGTAATTCATAATTGTTCAATGAATTTTCTACATGTATTTAGAACTTTACGCACCTTGCCTCGGTATTATAATCTCGTTTATGTAATGTTTATGGCACAAAACTGGCTAAAACGGACTCTTCTTATTTTGCGACGACTACTAGACACGTCGTAACTTGGGACATTTTTTAAGCCGTTGTTAAGGAACTTACGAAGTGTTCAACACATCCCAACTTTCATGAAATGGATTATACAACGCGTCGCGAGTTACACGTGTTACACATCGTAACTCGAGTTGCGACGCGTCGCAGCGCTTCGTGAAATCGGGTGCTGGTATCAGGAACCCCTAAGATGGTAGAAAATAGGGTATTGTCAATCGGTACTCCCTATGAGGATAGAAAAAGTGTGGGTGCACAATAAGCTCTGGCGGTGTTGCAAGAAGTCTTGCATGACGGTCTTGCATGAAATCGATCAGTGATCCATGCCAAAGCTAAAAATGAAATCGATCAAAATGCTCTCTAACAAGCTAAAAATGAAATCGATCAAAATGATCCCTAGCAACAGAGCCGAGAAATGCGACGTGTATGTATACATGACATATGGAACGCCATACTTTTGGTCAACTTTCCGGGGAGACAGACCGACCGACCGACTGCTCCTTGTACATGTAGAAGCTCCTGTCAGAGCTTAAAAATCTGGTCTTTTCTGTTTTTCCTTTGTGAAAATTCCCAAAAGCAGGAAAAGGAATTCAAGATGACAAATATTGTCAGCCTATTTTAATTAGAATTTTCAAAAGCAAAGAGATACTGTAAGACTTGTCTTAATCATTATGCTCACCGTGTCTTCTAAAAGTTCTTACTTGCTGTGACGAAGTGCATTCATTATCTGCCTCATAACCCTCTTTAACCTTCATTCAGCCATACTAGTAAAGCAGTATTGCATATCAGCATTTTCTGTCTATACGGCAGTATAGAAAGTGGCATCTTACAAATGTATGTTATTAAATTTGTTTTAAAATAAAAATGGGAAACATTTTTCTGGTTGAGTGCACATTCAATATGAAAGCAGTTTTATAGTTTTGTAGAGAAAAGGAATTGTCCGTTTTATAAAACTAGGCTAACTACAAAAGCCACTTGAGATAATGGAATACAATGTGCAAAGAAAGTGTAATGAACTAATCATGAATGAATCGTGAGAATCTCATAGATGCAGAAGAATTATAGATTTAAGATCCATAACTTAGAGCAGATTACAAGATGAAGAAACGCATGCCTCTGGCAATAAGGTCAGCAAAGATACAGCACTCGTGCATTGATGCTTAACATCCGTGTTTTCTTTGCTTCTTGAACAGAAAATGAATATATGCTACCTATCATTCCCTGACTCCAACTCCGGTAAGTCAAATGTTGTTTTATTGTTTAAGTCAAGATTTACATGTACATTTGTATTTTTTATGACATCAATGTCGTGCATTTCTTCCTAGTGTTGTTTTAACCACAGTTATATTTATTTTGGTTTCTTTAATAATAAAAATGCTACAATGCCACAATTTACAATTAAAAAATATTAATTATTAATTAATGTCCCCCCCCCCCCAAAAAAAATTAAAATAAAAAAAATTAACTCCTCAAAAAATAACATCATGGCACCCAAGAACTTATTTCCATTAGAAAAATCCAAACTAAAGGTATGGTAACATTATTCTTGCAGTCATACATAGTTTACATGTGGGTCTGTTGAATCAATCTCTTTCAGCAATACCGTATGTAAAATGTGGTTAATTTTCTTTTCTGCTTGCTCTGACACCTACATTGAGTTTTGAAGGTGAACAGGTCATTTTCTTTATTTCTCCTATGTTATTTATGTTATCTATTATACAGGGTGTATGGGAGACACACAGTTCAACTTCCGCATCCGACAGTGCCACGGCAGATCTCACTCCTACAACAACAGAAAAGTGTATGATAGGAACAGCCCAGTGGCATTGCAGGTACATACATGTAGACAAGCAGCCTTGGCAGGGATTAATGCATAGAGAAGGATGCTACAATACAAATGATGAAAACAATTTCGTAGGCCTACCTTTTGCATGTACAGTAAACTTTTGTTTTACATGTAAAAGGGAATGTACATCATTGGCTTTTGCTGTAATTTTCAGAAATGAACTATTTGAGGGGTTAGTATAATAGATCAAATATTGTTACACTGACATGTTTGAAGTTTTGTGTTCGAAAATGCAGGAAAAACCGAGAAAACCAAAATGCTCAAGTAGTCAGGTTCCCTGACTCCACTAAAGATAAAATGGATCAATTTAGAAATGCCGAAAAATTGTAAGGTAAGGGAACAAGTCTAGCTGGCCTGCACCCGTTCATGAACATGTAACCAATAGCAAACAAAATTTTGACTAAAAAAAAAATTGTAAATTTGAAGCAGTAGTTGAAAAATAGTTACGTTTTTCCAACGGTAGTCGGCCGACCACCATTGGAAATCTATACAAAAATACAATTTTCTTGAAAATGACTTCACACCAGGTGCCATAATTTTACAGGATGCTTTAGACTGTCATTTACCAACATCTTAGTAAGGTATTTCGTAAAAACTGCAAATGTTGTATACTCCCTTTAACTCAAATTCGATAACTCGAATTTCCATTAATCTTGAAGTATTACATGTACTCCATTCCTGTCAAGAGAATAGGATATAATGTACATGAATACCCCCGTAAATTGAAATGCCTGCACCGGTATCTCTGCTTATCTCATACTTTTGTTCAGCCAGTCCATAACAAAACCGCTGCCAAATAGTCACCATTGAGTCACAAAGAAGCATAAAAAAAATCGCGAAACTTTTTCACGAGTCATTTCTGCCCAACGCACTTTGTCTTTTCACATTGTGATCATTCTCCAGCCCGTAACTGCAATAAAACCCTGGCTTTTGAGTAAGTCTGATCGCTACTGCTGGCCCAGTTGCAGCTTGTGTGCCCTCTATCGATTAAATAAGACTGGCCATGTGACTGCACATCGGAATACTTGAGCATGGTGCATCGATATTTTGATTGACAAACAACACCAAATAAAGATTTGCTACACATAGTAGTGTAACACAGTTAAATGATTTTTTTTTAACATAGTTGTTTGTTTTTTGATTTTGTATGCTTAGAGTGACAGTGGACATTACTACGGCTTTGTGTACTTCCGACAAATCAAAGACAAATCTTCCCGGAGAGGTTACTTCCAAAAAGTAAGTTTTCCCGTGTAGCTTCATGAAATCTTACACCTTGACATAGAAACTTAATTCCTTACATATGGTTAGTCAGCATATTTGTACAGAGTGGCAACTGCCAGGGAGAATGTTGGCTAAATTCTCAACTGTTTAATTATTTCGTATTTCTCAAAATAAACAAAAAACACTGAGTAAAATTGTACAAACAAAAAGAGTTTAGGAACTCAATGCATAATCACAATTTTTATATCAAATTTACTTATAAATTTAACTCAGCCCAGTGTTCGTTTTTTTAACAACTCTTCGTTTGCAGTCACTGGTAGTGCTTTCCAAGGTTCCCTACATCACTCTCTTCACACGTCTTGCCAGCATTATTGCACCTGGATATTTTGAGTACGGTGAACCATCGGCAGAAGCTGGTATGTACAGATGCAGCTTAGTTTTTGGTTAGAGCTCTGCCAAAAATGAACTTTCGTGTAGTGTCAGAAATCTTTAGAAAATTGACAAACTATCCATTCACTGATGCTATCTTGAGTGAGATATGTACCTGTATGTATTGAGGCAGTGTGTACACTTGACACTTACCAATCATTAAAGCTATAGTCCATCATTTGCAGCTATCCAAAAAGTAACTGACGTAATTATTGTTGACAAACATACTTGGTTGAAAGATAGTAAGGGGACTAAACTCCCTGTGAAATTATTCTCTCTGGCAAGCTGTCATTTTGAAGAAATCAACGAAAGAAGGCCTGACGCACCGTTGGAAATTTTTGTAAGTAGTTCGTTTTTTTATTCGGCGAAGCGTTGGCACGACGCACACTCGCGAGCGGCTGCTATAATTCGTCGGATCGCTGCGCGACATCGCGTAGCTGCAAACGGCTCAGTGAGAACGTGTCTCGGATGCTGAATTCAGGCCCAATTCAAAACATGATTCAGCAACTTTTGATTTGAAATCGAGATCCTAGAATGCTGTTTATCTCAAAATATACAGCTGAAGCTGAGCTGAAACTTAATCAGGTTAGTTGTTCAGCACCCTTCTTTAGATTTTTAACACTTTTGTTGCTTCAAACGAACAAAATGCACAAATTACAAATGATGGACTATAGCTTTAACTGTGTGGTGTAGTTATATACTCTAGTGGTAGCGCTATGCCAACATGAAAGGGGATCAGGTTAACAAAGCAGTGCTTTCTTCGCCTTCCATCGCTGTGACCCGGGTTCAAATCCCACCTGGGCCAATATGTGGATTGGATTTTCAGTCCCTACAGGTGTTTTCCTTGGAATATCGTTCCGGAGTGTCCTCATCTTCTACTGAGGGGCCCCATTAGAAATACATGTATGAACAAAGACTTTCGTTGGCTATTCTGATCATTTGCATAATAATAAATAAATGAATATAATCAGCCAATCACATGTTTTATCTATTCCAGCTTGCCATGATATTGACCAATGGCCATCGCCGATGCCAGGCCAGCTCTTACACTTACCAATCATGGGTAGTGTATTACAAATCAGAATACCTACAAAGCAAGACAAACCAGGCTCCATATCAGCGGCTGTCAAGACAACGCCTGAGGTAGGTATGATAGAATCACGATTATACATCTGTGTTGGCTGAGCTCTGGAACAGTTCAAGGCAGTGTCAGGCCTTCGTGTAAAAGCTGAGTGAAGGCACTTCTGTGATTTGAATGTCATCTTTAACTAATTTCAATTTGAATGCGTACAAAAATTGTCAATTTTGTCACTTTTGTAAACTGTTCCATCAGAAACAGTTGACAAAGTATTTGCCATCATAGAAACCACTTTTCAATTTGTTGACTTCCTACATATGTTGTCATATATTTAACTTCTCTCTGTCGTTTCCAAAATGCAGTACCACACAAACACAATCAACGCTAGGGCAAAAAAAAAAGTCTCTGGTTTCTGGTATGCGCGCGCGTCGTCATAGCCATGCGCGTCGGCAAAATGAAAAAGTTTTTTTTTTCAATGAAAGATGATGTCTCAAAACCGCCAAACTCACTGGTTTGACTGGAATCCTGCTGCACAATTTTAACGTGTTTTGGGATGGGGTTATGAGAATAAGCTTTATGTGGCCTCTCTGGAATCCCATATATTTGCACTAAGTTTAGTCGGGCACCATTTGCAGTCATCAGCCGACATTTGAGGCAAAAAAAATCAAATAATAAAAAAAAAAGCCGCGTCGCCGCAGCACTTTTTGGGCAAGCTCCATACCAGAGACTTTTTTTTTTGGCCTAATTGAAGCATGATAGTATCAAACTATTTTCCATCTCAAGACAGAAACAATATAGGGATTACCTCCTTTATGTATTACAACAAGGAAATTGATGAAAATACAACTTAATTCATATGCTTAACCCTAACTCCCAACTGTATTTTACTAAGTACTGGACCAATGCATGCTGTGCTTTAGGCCTCGAGGCCCAAGTCCATCATACTCCATCAATATTTAGTCACACCAGGCCTGTAGGACCAAGTCCCCCAAAATCCACCAAAATCATGAAAATGGGGGGATGGATTTTGATGGAGTTGGGGAGGTTAGGGATAAGGAAAATCATAACCACTGTGTTTGGATTATGATGTAAATGAATACATAAATGCTACTTGCAATGTCTGCAAATTGATGTGAACTTGTTTCCATGATGCACTGTGGGAAAAATATCTCCTGTGTGGTAACTGCTTGGTTGCCCCATGCTCATTTGAAGTACAAATGTATGAACCAGGCTTTTTGTGTGCCTGTATTACAGCACGGTGGTTCCCATCCAACTATTGTGCCATCAGTTCACGAAGTGGAGCCTTTTCGTTGTCTTCAACCAGTCTTGCCACACATACAACTTATATGGGAGCTGGTGCTAACTGGAGAGGTATGTTAGTCTTTACTGTTGCAATTTGTACTTTGTGATTAATTGTTCTTGTGCTTCCTGATATTTGAAATTTAGATGTAGTCTAGTTGCGTGCTTTGTCTAGACTGATAAAAGACTTGGTACAAAACCAATTTTGATGTCTTAAAAAAATGTTTCACTGCAGTTGCTATTTTTTCTTTGTCTGTGTACTAATTTCAAGAAAATTGTTGCCTTATTCTAGCCATAAATCCACTGACTCTTTCATTTTATAAGAAAATTTAGTATTACACTGGTTCTTTAGACAGTAATATTCTGTCCAAATTGGCCTAACTACAATGTAGTGCACAAACAAAATGGCACAGTTTCCTAATGCCAGTTTGTGTATGGACTAAGGATGTGACGTTTACACGTGTAAACGAAAAAAAAAATCAAATCCGTTTCGAAATTTTCCCAAACGTTTAAACGGAGTTCAAATTTCAAAAATGGGACCTTGTATTTTGCGCAATCTAACCTCCAGCTTTATTTACAAAGAATCTACGATGTTTATTTTGTTTAACTAATAAAGAATTAGAAACGCATTTTATAGTTGATCACGTTCCAAGAAGGTTTATTAATACATTGTTCCATGATCAGCAACTGTTTTGTGTCAAATTGATACACAGTGTATACAGTTGGTTGTGTTTGATTTTTTCAATACGCCGCTGGGCCGAGATCGATGCCGGGCGGGGACGTCGCCTCTCCTGAGGTTATTCTGATTAAAATACCGAATTTTAAAACAATTCCGAATCTGTCTTTTTTCTGTATTTTTCTCTTGGTGTGTGCAGAAATCAAACCAATGGCTAGCACTTTCATAATGATTTTAAAACCGGCGAGGAAAAAAAGTTTACCCTGCTCCCCCGTAAACTACTCAAGTGAAGGCGTTATTTAAAACGATGTATTTTGATGCATTGGGATTATTTTTTCCCCCCAAGTGCTGTAAAGTCCGCCGCTCCCTTAAAGTTACTGCCGCTTCCGTGACAAGGAAATCGATGACGATGATCCAGAATGTGTTTGGTGTTGGCGGGGGTAAAATAAAAACTTTTTTTTGGATCTTAGGGCGGGAGCTGAGGGCCGGTGGCATATTACGGGATCTATTATAGGAAGGAATTTGCGTTTTTTTAAAGAGCGATGTCAACGTAGATTATTTGCTCGTTTTACGCAAAAGTGCACCCCTCCCGCTTGATTTTGCTATCATTGGCAGAAAAACCTTCCTGTTTATAAAAATTACATCGAAAAATAAAATTGTTGGATATTTATTATTTGTTTTAACATTTAAATTTGGTTGCCTGAGGAGTGACGACCAAATGATGCATGTAGGACGTAAAATACAGACCCATTGGTATTAAGGGCACTTTTTTAAAATTCTTGTCAGTTAACATTTTCCCCAACGGCAAGTACTGGTAACGCAGTCGTCAAAAAAAGGCCCCTGTCAAGTTGGTTTAGAATAAAATCTGGACAAGCAATACTGGCCTTACTGTTCTTTAGTCCAGTTTTAAAAAAGACGTGCATTCAATTAATTATTTGGAATATCAACCCCCCGAAATAAAAACCAACAACAAAAAAAGAAATACATTTATGTATCATTTATTCATGTACATGTACACGATACAGGCCTTTACAGGGGTGAAATTCCATGTTTATTTCAGTTTCCCTCACTTTTCGTATAAACTTTTCCCGGGGCCTTTGAAAAAAAAAATGCCCAAATAAAATCCAGCTCCGAAAAAGCCCTTCCAGAGAATGATTGACAGCGGCATTGTTCAAATTGATACAATGCGGCTCTCGTTGTTACAAAGTATATGCGGTTGGGTTCAGCTGTAGGCCATCGAACTTTAAATCCTTTGATGACTTGCCGCCAGTAATTGGAAGATTCTTAGATGATAAACAGTGATGATAGTATTTCAGCCAATGAAATGAGCCGGTTCCCGGCAAATAAATACGCCATTGGTTGCTTTCATCACGGGTCCGTCTGCTTTCATGAATATGACGTTCCTTCCACCAAGCGCAACTTCAGGTTGCCTAGAAATAATGTTGCTAGGAGGCTCCCCTGTGATGCCTGGGCTGGGACTGCCGGTTGCGTAGCAAGAAATCATATGTGACTATTTTTCTGGCAGCCTGCAGATAACTAGCAGCCTGTAGATAACTAGCAGCTCAAGAATGCTGCCGCTTTTGGGAAATTTGTGCAGGCAAAGTTTTTCATATTTTGGAATTTGGATGCAGTTTGCATTCCGTTAAATAAAAGGTTTGGGTTTTTTTTTAAAGAAAATTGGGGCTTAAAAAATATAAATAAACGATCTTCCTCAGGCCTTGACATTTCTTGAGTGTACATGTATGTTCATTTGATTCAACAACACTTGCAGAATGCAGACGATTCTTTTCTTCTTAATTTATTTAGCCTGCAGACTTCAAAAGAACATGGGGAAAAAAAGGTGGTTAAAGTGTATACAACAGAGGTGTGAAATCTCAGCTTTTAAGCTGATTTCAGCTTTTTTGGTTTTGGATTTCAGCTTTTTTCGGGCTTTTTCCCTCACTTGGTGTGTACAAAAGTATAGGAGATCCCCAAAATTCAGCTTTTTTACACATTTTTCAGCTGTTTTCAGCAATTTTTATCAGTGGTCACTCACACCCCTGATACAAGTGTATTTAAATGTGACCGCAGTTATGGCACATTATACTGGGACACAGGCGGCAGTCTTTTTGAAGTGTTGACTAAACGTTTAAATGTTAAAACGCTACGGGAAAATTTTGCTAAACGTTTATCAAATTAAACGTAGATTCACATCCTTAGTATGGACAGCATGTTGCTCTTACCAATCCAATGAAAATAACAACCAAGGTTCATGACACATATATACATGAATACGGTTGTATGTGGATTTTTAATCTGTGTGCGCCTGCACAGGCATTTCCTTCCCCCTTGGCTTTTTGTATTTTCCGCGGCCTAAACTGGGCAGAAATGTCCAGAAATATTTGGATAAACCCTAACTCTCCTTCCCTTGAAAAAATTCTTGCTACCCAATTGAACATACCGTTAAGGCCGAGGTTAAAAAATAAATAGTGCAATTTAGTTTTTTTAATTTGTTTTGAGGCTATTTCCTATTCTTTGGTTTCACAGCCCGTCGTGGTGATGGCGCCCTCACCGTCCATCTGTTCAGACACCATTCATGCATTGGTCCACACCATCTCACCACTCCGCTACATGTCTGACTTCCGGCCATACTTCACAATACACGATAGTGAGTTCAAGGAATATACGACAAGAACTCAAGCTCCGTAAGTACCTTACATGCAAGTTTTTGCTGACTGAAGTTACATGGCCTTAGTGGGTTTGTTGGAACGAAACTTAGAAATTAAACCTCATAGGGGTACGAATGAAAGTGTTCACTCTCAACTTCAGTTAGTGCTGCAAGTCAACAGTCACATTTGGGTTCAGGTCGGTTCATCAAGGTTCACTTTTTTCTCCGAAAAGTGTTCCGGTCTGACAGTAGGCATTTTTTACCCTAACTCAAATGATTCATGCAATCCTTGTTTCAAGTCTGAAATATTTCTGCTGCACAATTCAAACAATTGTTCTGTCTTTGGTCAACTTTGCCATTCGTGCATTAACTTCTCTTTGAAATGGTTAGGCAGTTAAATAAAAAAGTGCAAGCAGTTGTATAATACTGCTGTTCTTTATTATTATTTGTGTGACTGTAAAGAGCTCATCAAGTCCATGTTATATCTATGCATACCTTGCCAAAAGTAGCCAAAAGTATGTGTGCATAAGCCGCTGTACTGATGACGTCACAGTTTGTTTACATGTGTGCTTTCGTATGGGAGCTTGATGGTAGCGAAGGTTTCCTAGCTTAATTGAAAAGCACCCAAGTAAACAAAGTAAGACGTCACCAGTACAGAGGCTTATTGCCATCTTCTGTGCTGTTTGTTGATGACAGATACCAGATATTGTGTCATCATGAATTGCAATGTACAAACTGTCTTTGTCATAGCTGCATTACAAACATACTTTGCTATTTGTTGTTGTGTTTCCAGTCCCTCGGTTATACTCGGTGTAACTAATCCATTCTTTGCCAAGACGTTACAACATTGGCCTCATGTTATCAGGATAGGGGAGCCAGTAAACACGGGTAAGTATCAGCAAAGCCGATTGAACAAAACTACCAGGCTATTAAAAGCTAACAAGTATGTCTGCTTCCTACTCCTAGGGTGTCTTTTTCATGTCTCTCTTTTGCTCGGTCCTTTCTCCTTTTATCTGGAGTTTGTATCATTTTCAGCTGTCTTCTCCTTGATCATTTTCTAGACTTTTCTGAAAGTGCCATTTTTGTGTCGCCTAAACAAAGTTTTGGGGGACACTTAACAGTCCTAAATTCTGTATGACCGAACACACCAGAGCTACCTGTGGGTAACTTGTACAAAGGCAACGGTACCCCACAAGAGAAATCTTTAGAAAAGGGATAAAGGACAACAATGCTCGTACACCAGAACTCCCATCCGCTGGAACGTCCATAGCTCTGTATGACCGTTTGTTAAAATTGAGGTGAAGTTTTTGACGAAAATGTGTAACTTCTACATGCTTTCATGGATTTTGATGAAACTTGAATGCAGTGACCCTTGGGTGGGAAGACACCAATATTGATTGGATTACTGAGGTCAAAGGTCATTGAAAGCATTGTTCAAATGTGCTTCAAATGTTTCTTTGATAACAGAATTTGATGGATTTTAACGTAACTTGGATGGAGTGATCCTTGGGTGGGGGTTCATGACAAATCTTCCGAAATTGGAGGTCAAAGGTCATCTAGGGTTCAATTTAGGTCATTGTTTAAAAATGCACATCAATCAACTTTCTTTTTTAAAGAACACAAAACATATAGGGATCGACCGCAAAAAAAGGCGACATGTGCGATGTTTTCTAGACTTTTCTGAGAGTGCTATTTTTGTGGGCAGCCATCAGTGCATGTATTTCAATGGTGGTTGACAAATTTTTGTTTTTGCCCAAAGAGGGCCCATTTACCATGTTTACACTTGTGTACTTCAGAAGAAAGAATCTCATTCATTTTTGGCAGCATCATTGGTTGTGCTATATATATTTGTAATTGAAGACATTACACAGTAGTTTACACCTTTGCAAGTCATGTCTTTGTTTTGCAGTGATGCCAACCCATACTTGCCAACCACTAGTTGGCAAAAACTACTGCTATAGTGTAGCAAAAGATTTGTCTATATGTAATAATTTTGTACTTTCCCAATGCATTTTTGGCTAATTCCCTATTGTTTGTCCATTTTCAGACAAGTCCAATTCTAAGATGTTAAAACCAAAGAAGCCAGGCAGTTTGAAGACACTGGAATCCAAGCCGGGGCTGTATACACAATACAAACCCTTCCTGAACAAGGATAAGACAATTATTAAGAGATTAGCAAAGGTAATCATTGACACTTGAACAATGAAATGACAGACGTTTCACCATATCGTCATTTGTCATGAGACACATTTGATTTGGTTGATATGGGGCTATTAAGAGCGTGTATTGATTGAACTTGTTTGACTTCAACAACCATCAAGATATTAGACATCAATCGAATTACAAAATTACATGCAATGTGAAGCAAAAGGAATTTTTGACATTTTACAGAGGATAGACGAGATGATTGGAGAAGAATTTGAAGCAAATGGAGCTTGGTGACATAATGATGGAAAAGTTGATAAACAGAATACATAAAATGTTCTCATCTCAACATTAAAAAAATGACAATGCGTCAACAGTCCTGCAAGAATTTGAAACAAATTGAACTTCATGATACAGTAATGGAAAACATGTCATACAAATAATAATTCTAACAAGATGGATTTATAACAGATTCTCACTGTGTGGTACAGCAGTCTTAGTACCCCTGTTCATTGGGCGAATGAAAATTTTCCAAAGACCATCTCAGCTCCCTTGGAATTATACAAGGTGTATCAAAATAGAGATAGTCCAAAAGTAATGGGTTAATTTGTAAAGATTATGAACTGGAACACTGTCAAAGTGGCTCCATCTTAAAGGGTAGTTCATTAGCTTTTCATCGATGTCTTATTTGTATCTCTTTATTCACTTGCATCTCTTCAGTGAACAATTAATCCTTCCAAAGATTTTGTTTTTCATCACAAACCAGCAATCATTTCAGAATCGTTTAGACAGCTTGCAGTGGCATAGCCCAAGCTGTGTTTTAAGTACATTCTTGCAATAGGCAATGAGTTCAAACATAATGTCTTTGAAATGATTGATTTAATCATGAAACATGATATTCCATATATACTCAAACACTTTCAAGATGTCTTCCTCTCTCCATCATTCAACAAATAATCCACTGTGTCTGCGAACTTTTTTGTGACATCTCAATCCACAGCTGACAGCTTAACTCACAACTTATTCAGCAAGCTTGGAAACAGGGGTTTATTGTCCTTTATTTGAAATCAGTGGTGCTTTGTCATCCGTGACTGAAGTGACACAAATACGATCTCAATGAAAAGCTAATGAACTACCCTTTAAGATGAAGCCACTTTGACAGAAGTCAAGTTCATAAGTTTTTTATATTACACCATTACCTTTATTTTGATACACCCTGTACGGCTTTCATTGGATAGAAAACCACTATGAGTTAGGAAACCACTATGAGTAATGTGAACATTTTCTTTTTTCTGAAAACCAGAAATATCATCATTGAAAATAATTTTTTCCTCCTGTTGGGTCTAGGGCGTACAAACCAAACGACCACAGGAAGTACAGGATGCCATGCTGAGAAGACACTTGCTGGAACTAACGCAAAGCTTCATGATTCCACTGGAGAGATACGTAGCCAGCCTGATGCCACTACAGAGAAATATCTCACCCTGGAAGGTACAGAGAACGGTCAGAAACATCAAGTTACAGGCTTTTAGTATATAGGCAGAAAGAGTGCTTTCCAATGGTCTGGACAGTAGATAGTGCTTTATGACTCTCTGCAAACATGGCAGGACACACCGCATGTGCACACCCACGTTTACATAGGCATAGAAGTGGGGTACTTCCTTTGTTCTCGTGTACTAACATTTTGCAACGTCGCACACTTATGTCAAAATGCTCTTATTTTAACCATAGTTAATTTCCTGGGCTGAAATTCGGACATAATATCCCTTTTCTAAAACTCTTCCATTTGCGACAGATCAACCCACCTTGGAAATTCCTAGTGTTTGAGTAAAATCCATATATTTCGTAAAAAACTTGTAGGGTACCAAAACGGTACCCCACAAGTCGGTGGGCATTCCCATTGTTCCGGTACCCCACAAGGCAGTGTTTGTACACGCACTGGTTCTTGCGGGTAGGGCGTAAAACATGCATTGGTAATTCATCTGAATACCCTTTACATCTTAGGACTTGGAACATTGCTTTACCTGTGATAACAATGACACATAGGACCTAAGCCTAAGTCCACAAGGGATTTTGGTGTACAAACATTATGGGCCATGTCAAGAAAGAGTTCCAGTCTAATAAGGGTATTCAGAAGTATGGGCTCCTGGCGGCATCAAAAGAGGGCGTATTTTTACCTTTTTTTTAGAGCTTCGTGGACAGGACACACAGCGTGCGCGTACTGTGCTACTGGTTCGCACGTGAAGTACGCACAACTTCCTGATTGTGCAAAAGCCATTAGGAATCGCGTCTTCGCACGAGTGTCAGGCATCTTTGGCGCGCGAATACGTTAGAATTCAACTTAGTCTCTGAGACTAATCCCCTCCTCCAATAACTTTGGATACATTAGAAATATGCAGTGGATGGATCGGGAACCAGTCTACGGGAACCAGTCTAGGTCACCCCCAACTCTCCTTTTCTGGCCGTTGATGGGGTACTTGTGCAAGGAGCCCATAGTAAAACAAAAACGTTTGTGTCAAATGCTGTACTTTGCACTTTAAGATTTAAGGTTGTTAAAGATTTTTGTTTTTATATAAAGAAGCAAAGAACTCGAACCTTTCAATTATCTTGTTAGAAAAACCAGTGCAAATCTGTGTACAGATTTATCTTAAAGAAAGGTAAACTGGAAGTAATTCCAGCATTTTCCATGACACTGTACATATTCTGATTCTTCTGTTCTGCAGCATCCTCCAAGGTTAAAGCCTTTTGATACTGAGGCATTCTTGAAGACGTTGGAACATTCAGGCCCCCAGCTGACCTCCGGACTCAAGGGAGACTGGATAGGCCTCTACAAGTAAGACCAATGTCAAATCAAATGTCCTACCACACAGAGTGTAACAAGTCACTGATTCTTATATTTCGAGTCAAGTCATTCTAAGGCAGTGTCTTGAGTTGAGTCCTTAGGTTAACAAGGTCATGTCAAATCGAGTGTTATTGCTTGTCAACTTGCGCCACTGACATTTTAGCGCCATGCTGTTTAGATTTGAATGATGTTTTCAATTTTCTGTAATGATCCAGTTGTGTGATGTATGATTGCATGTGCCTTGCAAGTACAAACCAGCTTTCATGTAAACTTGATGTAAAGTTGCAGCTTGCACAATTGTGTTCCACGTTTTTAAGGAGCCTTTGATTAAATTCGAGTTTTGTCGTTTGCTGGCAATGAATCAAATCAACAGCATGGTTTGTACGGTTTTTAATATCCCACTTTGCTTGAAGCTTAGCTTCTAAGCTGTCTTTTTCACTAGCAATGGCTCTGCCAGATTGCTGAAAATCTGAATCAAAAGCCAAGGAGTCCATCGATCAGTGATCAGTTCGCAATGCAGTGCACACAGAAAAGATGGCTTGTGCCTTTCTACCTGGGCTTATATATGGGCCTTGCCTACCGGCCCATTTGAATATGAACACATACTTTGAATGTATTGTGTGATCCGCATACCTGTTACGTGGAAAGGAATGCAAACCCTCTGAAGACTTGTACGAATGTTATGAAATAGAATTGCGTGTGCCTTGCAAATTTGCAAGCCAGCTCACTGTACTTGGTGTGGAGTTGCAGCTTGTTAGTAGTAAGCAAAAGTATGAACCAAGTGTTGATGAGCCTTTGATTCAAGTCGAGTCAGGGCATTTGTATGTAATGACTCCAGTGAGCCGAGTCACCTAAACTTGTGACTCAAGTCAGACTCAAGTCTGGTCATTGATTAGAGTCATTATGAGTCTGACCACACATCCCACATTTGTAGACATCCTTGGAGATTTGAGTACAAGTGTTCTTCCAAACTTTTGTTTTATTCATTCTTTGCAACTACATTGCTTCCTTTGAATCCGTGAGTTTAATTACCAACTGAGGTTTTTTTTTATACAAATGTTGTCCAGAAATGAGAATTCTTCAGAAACCATTTTTTTTCTTTTTCCCACTGGCAGGAAGTTCTTTAGCAGCAAGAACTTTGAGGGTTGGTTCTGGCAGCGTCAGTTGGAGGTCAACCACAAGTTGTCTGTCTTGCACCTGGAGGCGCTGTGCAATGCTGACCTGCTGCAGTGGGTCAGTGACAAACAAGAAGTACAGGTCGTTGACCTGGTACTCAAACTCAGGGAAAAAATGGTGAGTTGGTCAAAATCTTATTCTCCATCCTCGGGTGATTTGATGGATGAAGCTGAGTCATTGTTGCATTAAACAGGGTTTGATGTCTCACTTTTGTTATAGTGCAAAGAATGTGTTATTGGGTGACAGTTGTCTGCGCAGTGTCCAAATTTGGGATTTAGGATTTTTAAAGCCAAAACAGTACTAGGGGATGTGGTCGAAGATGTTTATTTTATGTAGAGATATATCACTGTCGAGGCTGTACAATGCAAAAATTATGAACAATTTTTGGGAAGGGCTGTGAAAAGCAAAGTGAGTTAGCTGCTTTGGATTTTTGACAATTGAAGCTTCATGGTCAAAGCTATTCAAATATTCAAATGTAAGAATAAAACACGAGAAATTAAAAAAGATGGTTTGTTCCTTTTTTGTACTTTATCAATTATTTTTCTCTTTTTGGTTTTCAAAGGCTGACATTCTGGATCAGAATCTCCAAGTAAAACCTGAACTGGAGCAGAGACTAACCAAGCATATTGAAGCCATCATTACGACGTTACCGTCCGACTTACAGGCAGTGCTCAAGAGCCAATAGGAAAGCAGCTATGCTGAGTGATAGCCAATAGGAATGCAGCAATGGAAGCCAGTCAGTGCTCAAGAGCCAATGGAAAAGCAGCTATGCTGAGTGATAGCCAATAGGATTGCACCAATGGGAGCCAGTCAGTGCTCAAGAACCAATAGGAAAGCAGCTATGCTGAGTGATAACCAATAGGAATGCAGCAATGGGAGCCAGTCAGTGCTCAAGAGCCAATAGGAAAGCAGCTATGCTGAGTGATAGCCAATAGGAATGCACCAATGGGAGCCAGTCAGTGCTCAAGAGCTAATGGAAAAGCAGCTATGCTGAGTGATAGCCAATAGGATTGCACCAATGGGAGCCAGTCAGTGCTCAAGAGCTAATGGAAAAGCAGCTATGCTGAGTGATAGCCAATAGGAATGCACCAATGGGAGCCAGTCAGTGCTCAAGAGCCAATAGGAAAGCAGCTATGCTGAGTGATAGCCAATAGGAATGCACCAATGGGAGCCAGTCAGTGCTCAAGAGCCAATAGGAAAGCGGCTATGCTGAGTGACAGCCAATAGGAATGTACTAGTGCTGATCAGTAAGCACTTGGGTCATTCTGGTCTCACGCAGTTCTGTTCATAAAGGTTAATCAACTTCCTGTATGTGTGCAGAATGTTGAGAAATGCAAAGCATTGTGGGTAATTCAAACTGGACTTAAACAACCGAGATAAAAATGCATTGGTGATTCATGTAAATAATAATAATAATAATTTGGGAGGCTAATCATCCTTACTGGCAGCTGGGATGCTGAATTGCGAAGGACGCGGCTACAACGTGGTTGGGCTTCTGGCACGTAAGGGTGCCTATGGCTGCCGGCCACATCGACCCATATATGACCACGGAGCACAGCCCGAGACAGAAAGTGTTCGATTTTGCCGGAGGGAGGAAAACCGGAGGGCCCGGAGAAAAACCCTCATGGCACAGGAGAGAACCAAAACACAACTCTACTCACGTGATCCCCAGCCAAAACTACATGTATGAATAACCATAGTTTGACGATCTTTGCTTGCACCCATCATTGTCGACTTTACATGAAGTTGACTATTTGGGACCTGTCCTTTGAGGTCGCTGTATTGTATACAATAGCCAGACACTCGCAATGCACAGTAGGGAGCCAGGAACAAGACGTTTGATGACGACGTGTTGACTCACTTTCGCATGTTGCTATTTAGTGCACAGGCGTAAGTTACGTCACAAATCAACCGCAAGTCGACCAGTGGTCCTCAAATTAACTTGCTCATGAATAAGCCGAAAGGAACATGATGAAAGATGCAATTTATTTTTAGTAACAAGGTCACGATTGGACAGTTAGCTGTGTTGAACAGCCAATGAGAATCAATGAATTCAGCAGAAGTGTGCTATGAACCAATGGGAGTGACTTTTGAAGGACTTGGGGGGGGGGGAGTGATGAAAGAGGGAATGACCCCTAACCCCCAAAAAAACTATCAATGTTCATAAATTAAATACAATCAGTAACCAATAGCACTTGCATTACATTTTATGTTGTTTTAATTTCCTACTGAATCCAAAAGCCATTGGCAGGTACAACTGTTGACTTTTTACAAACAACGTTTAACTCATAAAAGGGAATACAATTTTACATGTACATGCATTTCCCAATTGCTAAACTATTTCTCCAGTTTTCCATAGGTTTATTCACAAACACTGATGGACGTATTGGGTGTCAAACAGTGGCTCATTCTGATTCTATTAAAAATTGACAAACGTCAAATAATGCCCTTAATTCATTTTCATGGAGCAGGTATGAGGCATATAAATTGTACATGTACAACAGGATTGTTTAAAGTAACTTTTTAACTGTAAAAAATCTTAATAATAGACGTCTTTTGAACGGATGTCTTGGTTTAACATGGATAAGTCTGAATAATCAAAACTAGTTTAATTCCGCACTCAAACAGTTAAGTGAGAATTGAGTTGTTAAGGCCAAAAAAAAAAGTCTCCGGTTTCTGGTATGCGCGCGCGTCGCCGTAGCCATGCGCGTCGGCAAAATGAAAAGGTTTTTTTTTCAATGAAAGATGACGTCTCAAAACCGCCAAACTCACTGGTTTGACTGGAATCCTGCTGCTGCACAATTTTAACGTGTTTTTAGATTGGGTTATGATCGAGAATAAGCTTTATGTGGCCTCTGGACTCCCATAATATTTGCACTAAGTTTAGTCGGGCACCTTTGCAGTCATCAGCCGACATTTGAAGCAAAAAAAACAGGTAAAAAAATTAATAAATAACGCGTCGCCGCACCACTTTTTGGGCAAGCTCCATAACAGAAACCGGAGACTTTTTTTTTTGGGCCTAAGGTAGATGTTTTTATGATGCAAAATTAAATGGCACAATGTTGTTTGAGTTATGCAACTTGTTTTGCAGCAGGCGTTCTTGTTTTCAATGCATGTACAATGTACAGCTGTACTGCTCTTTATGAGCAACAGTGCATAATTACTAGTGTGTACAGTTTACGTTTATTTATGCATAATATATACTTACAAGTTAATAACACTGGTCACATTTTTAGGCTTTTCAATGACATAAATGTTATTGTTATATCGTGTGCTTGGATACTGTAATTTCATTGGCTGAGAACGGCCAATGAATAGTATTTTATATTTCTTGCATAGTAGGCTATCAGCTTCGGTCCAGAAATTGGGCCACCGGTATCAAATGATCGAAAAGAGCAATGCTCATAGCGATTTTTAGCAAGGTATGCACAGCTAGAGTTGGAAAATGTGTGATAGCTTTGCTGTGTGAGCGGTGGCAGTTTTATGGTTTTATCACTTCTATTTTTTTTTCCTTCAAAATGGCCGCCAATACGCTTGTTACCAGATTAATTATATGCGGCACAAGCATGTTTTGGCCGCCATATTTTCTTGTACAAGCGATAGCACCGAAAAAGCTGCCACCACTGCAATGCCATCACATATTTTTCAACTACAGGGGTGCATACCTTGCCAAAAATCACAATGAGCATTATTCCCCTGATTTGATACCGACCAAACCCCCAGGCTGATGGCCTAACTGATGGCGTAAGTTTAACCATTTGTCGTTTTGACTGTTGGCACGATATAACAAAATAATTGTTGCTTGCTGTGATGTGGGACATGCCTTTTTTAACCCCCTCAGGGCGCAAAGCATCCTAGGTGAATTCACCCCTTGGGTGTTAAAAATGTCATGTCCACATCACAGCAAATATAACTTGATTCATAAGTGTCATTTTTAAGTAAAATAAAAATTAAACACATTATTTTATGCACATTAGGCCAAAAAAAACCATATTCGGTCTCTGGTCAGACCGAAGTTCCGGAATTGATGCGGCGACGCAGGGTTTTTTTTTTTTTGGCTTTTTGGCTTTTTTTTTTTTTTTCAAGCTTGAATTGTACAGACAAGGTGGGTACTATTTTGCTTTTTTGTGTCCTCATTATACATGTACATTGGTGTCCTCCATAATTTGCCTTGGTGCCCTTTATCATTTGCCTTGGTGCAATTTCCCCATTCCTTGGTGCTCCTTGGTACAAAAATTTGAGGAGGTGCGGCAATAGAGAGAGCTGTTGTAGCTTCCGTGTTAATTCGAAGAAAAAAAAAAGGTTGACGCGCATGATTAAAATCGACGCGCGCACTGACCAGAGACCGAGTTTTTTTTTTTTTTGGCCTTAGTTCGTGTTTTTATTTTGGCTTCAAAAGGGTACAACTTTATTTTTTATGCAATTTGCCATTCAAATGAATTGTTTTGTTTCCAGTAGCAAGTTTGACATTTTTTAACAAAGAAAACTATATTACAAAAGTGTGCTTACCTACATTTACTCTACTTAAAATTATGCAGAGAAATGTGTATTGTTTTGTAATGTTTTTAAACACAAAATTGAAGGCTCCAAAATAAGTTTTTTGGTAAAGTGCGAGTACCAGTGCGAAATTCAAAGAGCCCAAATGAAACAAGACCCATTTGTGTTAATATGTCTAGTATACTGAGCTCTAAATTGGACGTCACACTTTGTTAACACATGCACTTTCCTATGGGAGCTTGGTGGCTCTTGTCCCCAGCTGGCTCCAATAGGAATGCACACATGGAAACAAAGCATTGTGTCATTATGATTCAGGTCAAATGGTTGGTTACTTCTGTAAGACATTGTTGTCAAAAAAAGGTCAGTTTCCAGCTTTTCTGATTCCACGTACAGTGTACAGTACATTGCAAATGAAAGTTAACCTGGGAAGGGGAATATCTCTTCACAAAACATTTTCACAAAATTTCCCGTTCACAGTGTTAATTTCAATTGCATTTACGTTTAAATTAGGGGTGTGCATTGGAACTGGGTACCCCAATACCCAACCGCTTATGTCAGGAACCGGTTCCAGATTACGGAGTCGGGTAGTCTGAGTATCACCCGTTTTCACGGAGCCATCTCCTGTCTAACGTCTGATATGTCAAAGCATGCAGATTTATGCAAGACGCACGTCAGCCAATCGGAGTCGACTTTACTAAATCGTGACGTCATTTCATCCCAAAATCAGGACTAACGCTATGATTGGTCAATTCCAATGCAGCGTTTTGTAATACAACAATAGCCAGGAGCGCATTCGCGTAACATGATACCGAGCGCCGCGACTTTTTTTTTTAATCCATGTCTATGACGCGCAACGGGTGAATGACCGAAGACCCGATAGACCTATAGAAAGCGCCAGCTGATTTGTCAAAATCTAGGAAGTCAAGAGGCGGGTCTTGCTTAATTGATCAGCAAATCTGTTCGTGGTCTATTACGGAGTCGGGCACCTGTAGCCAACTTTACAAATTACTCAGTTACTTCTAAGACAATTGAAAAGAAAGCGTTTGAATGTTATTTGTTGGAATTTTCAAAATGAAAACCAGGCTACATGGAAAAACAAAACAGTTTTCATGTTTACGTGCTTTTAACGCGCTACAGATGACGCTCCTGAAAGTTGCAGTTTACACCAAGCTATAAAGCCCTTAAGACAATTTGCGGGATTTGAATTTTAGGGTTGGTACCCATGTTTTACCTGTATTTCAGTAGGATACCCGGTTCCTGTAGTACCTATAAATGCACAAACTCCTAGTTTAAATATGACTAGATCCTTTCTTCACAGCCATCTTTGTGATGTGTGGTTTGGTTCCACTGGGATGCGAGTAGGCCTTTTGTGCATTTATTTTATTGGAAAAAAAAGAAGAAAAAAAACACCACAAAGATGGCTTCTGAATGCAAAGGCGTTTACTCTCAAACTGCAATTTCACATAATATGAGTAACTTTGGCCTGGCAGAGTTATGGAAGAGAAGTCCAGCAACAGTACATGGTTCAGAGTGGGAAGGAATAGCATAATGGCACCAGACTATTAACAAGGTTGTTGTTCATAACCTTGCCTCAATTCCAGTTGAATATATTACCGGTACAGCAATTGTTTTGCCGTGGTGGTGGGGGGGGGGGTATTTCAAATTAACCTTGCCTCCATTCCTGTTGAATATATACAGCAATTGTTTTGCTGTGGGGGGGGGGGGAGTTTCAAATTTAAGATTTTAAAAAATTCGATTCAAAATACCTTTCTAATATTATTTACAATGTAGGGCTATGCATATACCGGTATACCAAATATTCGAATGACATGTTAAAAATTCAGATACGTGTATTTGAAATATATAAGTTGTCTTTAGGAAATAATGAAAATTGTATATTTGTGTGGTTATAATGTTTGTCAAATGCCACACTTTTATTGAAAGACATTGACACGCATGCTTTGAGAGCTTCCACTAGGAATATTAGCTCCAATTTTGTCGTTTAACTCGGTCAAATATCAGCCCCCGCTACCTAATCCTTACATTATTTCAACCCTATCCAACCACCTAAGGGCCCTGTGGGGGTCAAGTCCCAACAGGGAATACATAATACTACATGTGTTGTGCACACTTGTATGGAAAGAAATGTATACTACAGGCATAGAGCTATATTAAATTACTAGAGCGCTAACTCGTCATTCTGCGCGCGGAGACGCTTTGAAGCTGTCCTGGGCGCAGACATTTTGAATTCATGTGCGTGTTTGTAGAACATAATGAAATTAGATGGATTGAATTTTGAAAGTGTATTCTACATAAAACGCGCAAGTAGAACATACGCAAACAATTTAGCGCGTCATTGACGGTTAAAAAAAACCGTGACGGCAAAAAGCATGCATGCGCCCAGCAGGCATCACTTTGTACACGAAGTTAGCGCTCTAGTAATTTAATATAGCTCTATGACTACAGGTTACTACTCAGTAGTGTTTTGTAGTTTTAGGTGAGGTTAGGGTTAATTAACTCTTTGTCAATATTCGACAGGTGCATGCAAATCCAGATCAGCGACCAATTAAAGCTGGCCAATGTTTACATTGATCAGTGCATTATACAATCTAATATTTGAATATTCAATCCAGTCCAAGTAGGATTAATAGAATAATAAATTATTCGAAAACTGCACGGCCCTAATATAGTTCAATTCCAACTGGTCACATTTATACATGGACTGCATAGTGTGATAACCTGATCACCTAGAATCACTTAGATCTTGAAATCAATTTAGGAGCAAATTACAATTTCATTTTTTTTTTCACTAAACCATCATTGTGAAATTTAGTTCGACTCAAAACATTTGCAGCTGTAATGGGAGCTTTTTGAGATGTTGGTGGCAGCAAACACACCGGTCCTTTTCAATTGTTTACGCCATGTTTAAGCTGAAGCGACATGCTCAATATGACGCAAATTGAAACAGAACCAGTGTGTTAGCTGCCACCAACCTCTCCAAAGTCTCCCATTGTATTTGAACAGACAGCAGCATGCCAACCTCGCGCCCACCACTACCTGCTCTCTCACCCTGGTATTGGATCATTTGCATGTGCAAGATTTTTGAACACGTATGCTAATGAGAAATAGTCAGGTGCCTGCATGTGCGTTACATTAGCGTTTGTTTTTGTATGCGGTGTCTGGGGTAAAAACAGCATCAATTCGTCGAGCCGTGAGTTATGAAAACACAATTTTTTTTGGGAAGTTAAAATGTTACAATCTGGCCCCCCATGTATGCAGTATCACATTTCATATTAATATGAGCAAACTGAAAAGGAGAGGAGTGTTTTTGAGAAGGCGTGGACGTTAAAATTACAATGATTGTGGAAACACGTAATGCATGTTGGAAAGAACAACACCAAGTACACGATATAAATCCATTACTAGCAAATTGCGGTGTCAAATCAGGATACAGGAAGAAAGTTTCCTATCCAGGGCTTACTATACATTAGAAACGAAGTTGGAAATAAAGTAAGCACTGGGGACGAGGTTGGCAGCATGCATATCAAGCCAGCGTTGTGTCGGGTACAGTAAACCCTCTGTTTTGAGTAAATTCTGTTTCCCTTTCTTTAAAATAATATCTCCTTTACAGGATTAAATCCATGAAGATTTGACAAAATAACAATCTTTAAGATGTAAGCCTTTATCTTAAATACTGTTCATCACTTGTAAGAAAATCACAAATGTGTTGCTTGGTAGTGAGCATAGGCTGTTTGCAATGTATTACCTCTAGTGATTTCATTTGGCGATATTTATGTGTAACAAAATGCAAGAAAAACATTTGCTGAAAAGTAGAAGTATTTTTCACTAAACTTACACGTGCATGTGCACTATTAAGCAACTCTGTGTATGTTTTTACACTGCCTTGTAATTTTGTACAAACGACAATATTATCATTACAAAGACTTTTATTGTGTAACCGAACATGTCAAATAAATAATGGAGTGACAGTCAAATTTTCGCTAAACGTTTTGCAAAAAGTTCTCATTTTGTCCCCCAAACTTTCACATTTAAATGTGTACTTGATGTGGCAATTTAAATTAATGCTTGACTGATAAGTGTGTTTAACGGAACTTAAGAGATACCATGGTAACCGCTTTTCTGTTATCTGATTGGTCGATTCACTCCATGTTGTCGTTGCCATCGTCCGCCTGCTTGGAATCGCCCATCATGCTTGCTGAGATATTAAGAGTCTGTGTGCCCACGGGGTCGTATGTCCATTTGGGGTACACACGCTTGTACAGATTAAGCAACACCATGTCCTGTGATTTCAACTTGCCGTCAAAGATACACTTCATGTGACCATGAGTTCCTGTGGAAATGAATAATGATGGAGGACATATGTGACCCGCTCCACAAAAATGAGTCTGTTGTGGCAAAACTGAAATTTTGAGTTAACTACAGTAATAAAATGGGAATGAAATAAGCTTTCATTTGGTATATCATGGGCCTCTCTAGGACGTTTGGTTGCACTGTTGTGCCTTTTTTAATTCTGTCAAGTTTTTGCAAAGCAAGAAATGTCTCAATGAAGAAAAAAGGGTTTAAAAATTACAAATACACTGTAACTAACCAAGAAAAGCACCAAAAATCATAAATTTGTTAGTCTTTTTCTTACAATATTTAAATTTCTGTGTAAGATATCTGAACTAAAACTATCAAACAACCAAAATAAAACAAGAACAAAAAATCCAAATTTTGAGCAAATTTTCACTGTTTCCATTTAAAAGTGGTAAAAGCTGGAATTCAAGCTATGCGACATCAGACTCATTTTTGCATAGCGGGTCACATATTGTGAACAATAAAAACCTGAAAAAGGTCGGTCAGAATTTACAAGAATCACTATCCTTTGGAAAATGAGCATTGTATTTCATAAAATGGGAGGAGAATTTCTGAATTGTTTGAATTGGACCAGACTGGTGCAAGGTAGATCAAGCCCAGGGAGGAATGTCGAACATGGCATGATTCCATCACAAGTCCCTGCAAGTCCATCACAAGTCTTTCAGTCTCAAGTCAAGTCACTAGCTACATGTATTCATATAAAACTATTCATAAGATGGAATTTGCGTCGACCACCGAGCTTGCGGGATCGGTTAGCTGGTTCGAATAGGATGTAGCAGCGGGTTCCGCAATGAAACTATTCATAAGATGGAATTTGCGTCGACCACCGAGCTTGCGGGATCGGTTAGCTGGTTCGAATAGGATGTAGCAGCGGGTTCCGCAATGAAACTATTCATAAGATGGAATTTGCGTCGACCACCGAGCTTGCGGGATCGGTTAGCTGGTTCGAATAGGATGTAGCAGCGGGTTCCGCAATGAAACTATTCATAAGATGGAATTTGCGTCGACCACCGAGCTTGCGGGATCGATTATATAGCTGGTTCGAATAGGATGTAGCGCGGGTTCCGCAATGAAACTATTCATAAGATGGAATTTGCGTCGACCACCGAGCTTGCGGGATCGGTTAGCTGGTTCGAATAGGATGTAGCAGCGGGTTCCGCAATGAAACTATTCATAAGATGGAATTTGTGTTGGGGTGATGTAAATCAATATTAGGTTAGCCCTTCACCGACGTATAAACACTGTATACTCAGTGTGTTACCTCCCAAGTGAAAGTTAACAAAATTCACTCGGGTGGGACTCGAACCCACGACCTGCTTTCTAGTGCAGACGTCTTACCACTCGACCACCGATCTTGCAGGATTGGTTAGCTGGTTCGAATCTTATTCAAATGAACTATAACTAAAGTATTCCTTTGTCATTGTTCATCTTGTTATTTGTGACTGGACTTATGAAAGGACTTGTGATGGACTCGACTACAACACTGACATGATTACTTCGAGAAGCATCGTCGTATTTTAAATACTTCCGTTAGGGAAGAATGCAAAATTAAAGAAGCAGTAGCTAGAGGTTGAACCCTGAGAAATTCTGTAAAACCCTGTCAAATCTTGAGGTAAACCTCGTGTTACTGCCCGTTTAATTTCTCTTCCCTTAAGAAGCTCATATGTTTCTTTGTGTTGCCATTTGGAAACTACTGTTTTTGAACTTGAAACCAATACAACAATTTGTGTGTGTGTGTGTGGAACCTTGTAGTCAGGATCAGTTCTTGGTGGCAGGGGCTTCCGGAGACCAACCGTTTATCAGGAATTCCAAAAATTCCTCCACACTTTGAAATTTTTAAGAAATTTCCAAAATCAAGTCTTCAAGACACAGCTAAGTTTCGGAAGTTATTAGAACCCCTTCCCAATATTGTTTATTTACAGCATTCAAACACACCAGTCAAACATAGACAAGCATGCTTGGTGTTTAAGATGACATTACATGGAGACCCTTACCCAATGGTTCTTTGATGTGTCCACGACGGCCCCATTTGGTGTGCAGCTCTATTGGCTTAAACCACAGTATGTCCTCTGAAAAACAAATGGAGGTTACAAACAGTCAGAATTCCTGAAAAGACTGAAAATAATCATTAACACTTACTTCCTACTTAGTTTTACTAAGTAGAGGACCATGTCCGTCAAAATCCATCACTCACTCTCAAATTGGGGGATGGATTTTGATGGATTTGGTCAGGTTAGGGTTAACGGATGTTAAATACTTTCAAGATGGCAGCCAGTTTGGTCCCATTAAATACATATTAAAGCCCCAAAGACAGACAGACATTGAAATAAAAAACTTATTCATGTGTATCGAAACCCTATGGATAGAATTTTCATGATGATGTTTCAGTAAGCTGGATTGTTGTGTCAAATTATGTGGCAGCAATGTGCCGGCAATTCCATGAGAATATGGACATGGCTAAAAGATAAATAAATTATGAAATCTTCAAAATTGCAAGCATCACAACATCCAATGGGGTATCATATAAGCCTCTGTACTGATGACGTCACACTTTGTTTACATGTGCACTTTCCTATGGAGCCAGTGGGGGCCCATGGTCCACTGAGCACCATAGGAAAGCACACACGTAAACAAAGTGTGACGTCATTGGTACAGAGGCTTATTAAAGTGGATAAGATGACCTTTCATTAGAGTGATGTGACAGTGAGATGGGATATGGTTAAGTGTGTTTTTTGGTCAAACTTCCTTTGGCATCTTTGTTTTTGCATGGAAAATGCAAGTGTTATTGTGACTTTTTGTTTTTAAGGCAGAAAGAAAGGTTTACATTTCATGCGAAAAGATTTTTCTTGTCTGATTTTTAGTTACTTCTGATTTAACTTGTGCCAAAGATAGGCAGACAAACTGTAACGTGAGTTACTATAAAGTGAGTTACTGAAATAATAAACTGGGTCAACAGGCAAAGCAGGCAAGTTGTGGTCACAGCTGTTTTATCACCACTCTCACGGAGTCAAAGCATAGCTGTTTCAAGTTACTTAAACAGTCCCAGCCAGTCAATCCTGCTTTATGTGGGCTGGGAATTCTTACGGGTTGAAAACAGTCACTTGATTGATTTTGACTGAAAGGACTACTTGGCATAGAATATATGCACATAGGATGGTAAAGGCTCTGTGCATATCTGCCCCTCTAGTGCTGAAAACACGACAGTTATTGTAGGCACGAGAGCACAGCAGGATTATTCTATCATGTACAGCTCATGTTTCTCTGAGGGTCAACATCAGCGCAAAGCATATACTTCTGTATCTGCACATTCAGTTGCCAAACTGTCACATTCACTGGATGGTTTTATTTTGTCTAAACCAGTATTAGAGTAAGTCAAAACTGGATTTAACTTTTATTCCCCTAATACAACTACATGTACTCCCTAACAAGCATGGTCAAGCCAACTCTGCATTAGAGATCAACGGGATGAAATAAACCCTTGAGAACTTTGGCACTCTACCCAAGCATACCTCATACATAGTGTGTGCACCTGAGGTATGCTTGGAATTTCCTGGTTAGCGCTGCCAAAGTTTCCAAGATCTTGTTCATGGCGACCGAACATCTTGTTCATGGCTTGACCGTGCTTGTCATCGACCGGCTGCATCAGTGGAATAAAATAAAAATCCAGTCTCCTACCAAAACTGGTTTCTCAACTTGAGCCCACGCACACAGTGTTCTCCAACCTGTAAAAATAACCTGGTGCCCCGCCAAGCTTTCTGAGGCACCCGCCAAGCTTCAAAAGCTGCCGCCAAGCTTAAAAAGTTGCCCGCCATGCTTACAAAAAAAAGAAAAAATGATGAAAAAGACAAACAAGTGCCACTACCATTAGCCTTCATGGTATATTTTGGCCAGAAACTCTGCCAAAAGCAGTAACATGCAACACTTGTCAAACTGACAAGCCTGCCCATTGTAGCAATCAATCAGGTCAAAAGTCTCAAGGCCAAAACTGCCTCAGAGTCCCTGGTCACTGATGTGTTAAAAAAGATGATGCTGAGCCAGTAATGTACTTAATTGTTAGTGTTACTGTGTTAGAAATGGCCTAAAAGCTGCTATCCGCACATAAATTACATGTTCAACTGCAAATAGCACCCCCTAGCATAAAGAAAAGTAGACAGCAAATAGCACCCCTAACATAATTATAGCGCCCCCCCCCCCCTCCGCTATTTGACGGCCTTTAATTTTCGAAGTTGGAAAACACTGGTGTTAGAGGTAACAATTTCTGCACAGAGTAGTATGACTGTTTTCCACTGCCACAATGCAGGGACACATGTACCTTCACTGCACACTTCCGGCTTGTCCAAAGAAGGTGCATGAAAACGAAATGCAGATTTGAGTTACCTCTGTTGAAGAACATGTATCTGACCACAGCCTGCTTGTTGATGATCTTGAATGGATGTCCGCTCAGAACAACCTTCTTAGCGATGATGCGATCTGGGTTAGCTGTCAGCAGGGAACCGGTGGCTACTAGACAGTGACTTCCTGTCATAACAATGGTAATTAGGATAATTATTATTGATCTATTTGTTTATTTATTATGGTGTTTTTCATAAATACCTAAGACCATTTACCCATTTCTATCGGTCAAGAGCCCATCAAGTGGCCGGTCTTATACGGTTGATAGAGACATGGCTGGCTGGTCTTAAACACTTACCCAGTGTCACATACAATTTTGCTCCTATGACATCTGGTTCCAGCACCATTATATTGGTTGAATGTTCACAATCCTCATGTAGGCCAAGGGCGGATCCAGGAGGGGCCAAAGGGGGCCATGGCCCCCCCCCCCCCCCAAAAAAAAAACGAGACCAATTTTTTTTTTTTTTTTTTTTTTTATGTGACAGGCAATGAGTACACCACCGTCTTTTCCTAAAAAAAAACATTGGTTAAAGTGGTCAGAAATTGCCTCAGATCGCACCACAGAGCATCTAGAATCCAATTTTTTTTCGGGGCCCTTAAGCGGGCCCGAACCCCATGCCGTAATTTTTGGGACCCACTTTTTGGGGGGACCAAAAATTTATTTGGCCCCCCCCCCCAAAAAATTGTGTTCTGGATCCGCCCTTGATGTAGGCATGCGTAATACAACCAGCAAGTCAGTATTTCCTAGTCCTAAAATCACACTACACCAGCACCCGATTTCACGAAGCGCTGTGACGTGTCGCAACTCGAGTTACGACGTGTAACATGTCGCAACTCGCGACGCGTCGTATCATCCATTTCACGAAAGTTGCGATGTGTTGAACGCGTCGTAAGTTCCTTGACAACGGCTTAAAACACGTCGCAAGTTACGACGTGTCTAGTGGTCATTGCAAAATAAGAAGAGTCCCCTTTTTAGCCAGTTTCATGCCATAAACATTACAAAAACGACATTATAATACCAAGGCAATGTGCGTAAAGTTGTTAATAGAAAATTAATTGAATAATTATGAATTACACAGGAATATTGCAGTAGAAATTTCAAAGTAGCTATACAGTCCACTGAGAGCTTGTTTTCCTTCAAAATTGCATCGCAAGGCCGCCATTTTGTTTTGCGTTTTAACAAATTTTGAGCTGAGATCCGACGACTCTTTGTTGAATATCAGACGACTGTACGTTGACTAAAGACATAAAACAGTCACCGACTTGTGCTATAAATACACCAACGACTCGTCACACTTACGACGTATTTTGTGAAATGGATCGCAGGAGGCGTCGCAGCTGCGACGCATCGTAGAGATAGGACGCGTCGCAGCGCTGCGATACATCGTAAGTTACGAAGAGTTTGATGAAATTGGGTGCAGTATATCTGCGTTCTGCACGACATCATGATGTACGCGCCGTCAATCTCCATATAAGGAGTTGTTAACCAGAGGACCTTACCACTGTATAGCTCATTGGATGTTTTGTTGATCGAAATTGTTCAAACTTTATAATTTTTTACTTGTTTTTAATTTTGGACCGAAAATTTTTCAGCTTGGGTAATTCAGCATCCAGACTCCAACCGGTCTTAAACAGATTGTTTAACACCTCCCGAGCACATATTTATTCCCTTATTAAAGCTATAGTCCATCATTTGCAACCATCTGAAAAGTAACTGGCGTAATTATTGTTGAAAAACATACGTGGTTGAAAGATAGTAAGGGGACTAAACTCCCTGTCATATTTTTCTTTCTGGTAAGCTGTAATTCTGAAGTAATCAACGAAAGAAGGCCTTTCCAACGGTGCGTCTTAAGACGCACCATAGGAAAATTTAAATTAGTAGTTCATTTTGTTATTCGGCGAAGCACGCGCAAGCATTGGTACGATGCACACACACGCGCGGTTGCTATAATTTGTCAGATCAGTGCGCGACATCGCGTATAGCTGCAATCGGCTCAGTAAGAACGCGTCTCGGACGCTGAATTCAAGCCCAATTCAAAACATGATTCAGCAACTTTTGATCTGAAATTGAGATCCTAGAATGCTGTTTTTCTCGGAATAAACAGCTGAAGCTGAGCTGAAACTTTATCAAGTTATCAAGTATCCTTCATCAAGTATCCTTCCCTAGATTTTGAACACATTTGTTGCTTCAAAAGAACAAAATGCACAAATTACAAATGATGGACTATATCTTTAAGCAAAAAAATAAAACACAGCTAGCAGCTATCTTACTCAGCAGTTGCCAGGATAGCCCACAAAAGTCTTACAATCTATTTTAAGTCAGGCTCCTGGGTAGAACATGAAGAAGGAAATTACCATTTCACAGGAAGGAGAAGAAATACTTGCATGACACTTGTGGAAAACAAACTTCATCGGTAGGGAATGAAAACCCAATCCACATGTTTGCCCAGGCAGGATTGGAACCCGGGTCACAGCCCTGGCTGGTGAGGAAAGTACTGCTGTGCTATTAACCCTGATCCCTTAATGATACTGAAAATTATCTGCACACACTATGCAGCATTATGATGCTCAGGGCCCTATCATCTTTAACCCTGCTTGTTTACCCCATACAGCGTGTCAGACTTAATGCCTTCTGGCTAGGTAGTACACTGCTTACTGACATTTGGTTTTCATGTCATTCCACTTACCATCCATATTTTCCTTGAACACCATGACAGTGGCTGGAGGGAATGCAACGGGGGCATACACTGTTGCTACGACGATGTCATCCTTGGGCAGGAAACGGATATACTGCAAGGGATAATCACAGAACACAAATTCAATTCTACCTCAAAATTAGTAACAACTCAGGCAAGATAAGTTTGCGGTAGCGCCATGTGAATAAATCTCTTTTGTGAGTTTGTGTGGACAACTTATCTTGTCTTAGTATCTTTCCACCATGCAAACTTTCAAATCTCATAGTAACAACTCGTCGTGTCCGTGAAACAAGGTCATATCTCCTAAAATGGAATGTGACATCATGTTCATGAAAGGAGAGTTTTCAATGTCAAAGGGTCGTTTCTTGCTTAAAATAACCGGGATGCAAACACAAATGGACGTCGCGATACGCGAGATACGACCTTGCTGCACGGAGCATATTTACATGAGATACGACTTTGTTGCAGAATTGAGTTACTACCTTGTTGTACTGATGTGACGACTTACAATTTAAGAAAGACTAGCACCCCTCTCTGCATAAAATCAATTCCTCTTCTCTGCATGACATCAGATTCAAAATCATTTTGGTCTACCGTACTAGTTTTATGCCAGCCATGCAAATAACTGCTTTGTTAAAGAAAACGTCCGAAGAAACTGAATGCAAATGCTGCAAATAACTTTTTCAAGACAAGAATCGTAAGAAAAATTGAACCAACCACCAAAACAAACTAAAAGAAGATCCTGTTTGTTTAAAAAACTGATAGATAAGATTAAAAAGACTGAAAGTTTTGTATGCAATGATTTTAGTATAAATACTAAGAACAAGGATACACCTGATAAAAATAAGTACCCTTTTGGTCTTTTCTTGTACTTACACACAGATTGCACAAACAATTTTGTTGATATAATTTCTGTGCACAGCTCCATTTATTCGATTTGCCCAATGGCAAGGTTCAACTTATCGCAATATTATCTTTAATTGCCAACTTTAGCAGTTAATTAGCAAGCATACCAAATGTATAGTCCACCTACCTTGTGTTTGTCACCGTTTGAGTGCTGTGACAGGATCGGGCAAGCTGAGAACTGCCTGAAACCAACTTGGAAGATCAGTCGCTCCTGAAACAAGACATGGATGTTATACAAATATTGAGTGGCTCAACGTGGAATAGGAGGAATATTATCGCAAGGTAAAATCTGGACTTTTCTATTGCACGAGGCAAAGCCGAGTGAACTGGAAAAGTCCAGATTTTACCGAGCGATAATATTCCTCCAATTTCACAATTTAAAGCCACTTAATATTTGTTTTATATAACTGACATATAGGTCCTTGTCATTTGATATATTTGAACTTTTATTTCAATACAAAACTGGAGGAAAATGTATTTCTCTCTTCCAAACCACTCCTTCACGAAAATGTTTGAACCCAACGCTGTAGCGCTGGCTCTTGGGAACAATACGCGCTACGCGCAACGCTGAAAGCGCACACCAGCATGCATTTGCACACAAATACCGCGTCATGATCCTAACTGTTCAATAGTATTTCCCATTCCCCATGGGCGGATAGCACTTTTTGAGCCGCGGCGTGAATGGGAGCAATAACGAATGTCACGTGATGTGAGTTCCACCAATCAAATGACAAGGATCTGTATGTCGGTTATATAAAACAAAATATTACTTCTAAAGACATGAAGAGATGTGGCAAGTTAACCACAAATTACTTGGAACTTGTATGAGTGGGTCCTCGTCCCATTATTAGACACATGTTTGGACAAGACCAATTTGTATATACACAAGAAATACAAAATAAATAAGTAAGAATTAAAAACAAACAAATATAAACAAAATCCGTGAACAAAACCATGTCAAAAATGTCAATGTTACCTTGGATTTTACCGGCTCTGTGAAGTTGTGATAACGCTTGATTGCTAAATGCATCACTGACATCTGCAAAATCAATGGAAAGACATAGGAAAGCAATGAAATTATAATATTTACGTAGTTTCCTTTACTTTTGAATGCAGCAAAAGCGGCTGCCAGGCAAAAAAAAAATTGCAAACTAAAACTTTGCTGGTGACCAGTTTCTCTGAACATTTGATTTCCGTGCCCATTCAACATTTTCCATACAATGAATGTTGTGTGAATTTCAAGAATTGTTACACTTTTTTGTTTTATCTTGTTTATAAGTTTCTCAGACAAAAGTCCTTTTGGAAATGCTGCTAATGTATGCCACTACAGGTTGAGTAAAAAAAGCGAAACCCAAATGTCAGGACTATTGTTTTAGTGAAGTTCTGCATGTAGCACTTTAAAAATCTAGGATATGAAAGCCCAATTCATAAGCTTTCTTTTAGTACAAGAATCATTCAAATCACTCACATAATTTTCAAGTTATGGAATTGTAAACACAATGACCGTTTTAAATTTCTGTCCACTGATCACAAAAAGGTAAGTGCTCTTTCAGCAAAACGAAAACAAATCACTTAGGGATGGGTGTGAACTGTTTCTGTTTTGCTGAAAGAACGCACACCTTTTTTTGTGATCCATGGGCAGAACTTTAAAATGTTGGCTGTGTTTAAAATTTCGTAACTTGAAAAGTACTTGAGTGATTTGAATGATTCTTGTACTAAAAGAAAGCTGATGAATTGGGCTTTCGTATCCTAGAGATTGAAAGTGCTACATGCAGAACTTCACTAAAACAATAGTCCCGACATTTGGGTTCTGCTTTTATTGACTCGCCTTGTATTTAAAAAGTACCTGTAACATGCAAAGTTTACCTTTTGTTCGTGGGGTAGAGGGCCAAATACGACGAGTGGATTGCTTGGTTTAAAGTCATCTAAATAGAAAAGGTAATTCAAAATGTAATAATCAGTATCTGTTCTTTTGAGTGCATGCTGTTAAACGACAAACTAAACACACATACAAGTTGAATGTTTTACCTTACTCCCAAAATGTTAGAACCAAATTAAAAATGAAATAATCTTTAGGGGATACAGTTTGATATTGCTCAGTCCCAAAGATGGACAGATAGATATCTTGGTAATAACCGCTTTCAATAAATGCACACCAATGAACCCATAATAATAAGCAGCCGGATGGAAATTTCCCCGTGTTTTTCTCACAAAAGGGTTTTTCACAGGTTTTTCGCCCCTCCCGTATTGAATCTGCAAATATAATTATAGCAATATATTTTCTTGATTTTACAAGATAGATCCAAATTCTTTGTGTGCACTGAATTCGCGGTATAGTAAAGCCTGTTAACAATGTTGTTTCACACTGTACAAGAAGTTATAATAGTTTTAAAATATATTGTATTTATAATATTTGCTTATTACAATCATGCATTAATCAAATAATGCTTTTATCTCATTGTATTGTATTGTGTTCATCGGCAGCAAGAGAGGCCTACATCGACATGCTCCGCAATTCCAGTCTATTAAATGAGCTACGGTGACGTCGCATTTAATTATTACTTTTACCGATACCCCAGGTGGTTCCTTTTATATATTCTGTGTTTCTTACAAATAAATACAAGCCTTACTTGATTTTCACTGGCAAAAATACTTTACTCTATATTATTTATAGAGTAAAGCCTGTCAAATTGTATTTCCCTTTTGGCAAAGATAGCCACAGAAACTTAATCTTTTTGGTAAAGTAAGCCACAGAAACGTAATCTTAATTTGGAAAGTTAGCCACTGAAATTATTCAATTTATTATTCATTTAACTAATCTGGCACCCACTAAAATCCCATTATTGAGTGGTCGGGCACAACCCGACCACTCTCTGTTATTGTTCTGGTAAATCTTTCTTTCTTTTTTCCGGACAATACTTCTCCGCGGCTTTTCTCCTAAACGGTATATGGTATGAACTTGTAACTTTCAATATATATCGACCCTCATCCGAAGTGGTGCATATTACTCTGACATCATGATTACGTCATCAGGTGTCAAATTACAAGTGATTTTATCTGAAAAAGTGACCAATTACCTATAACTTTTGAACTAAACATTCAATGATGTTTGTATTCTGTAAATCAGATAGACCATTAATCGCTTAACAGGTTTTGTCGTGTACGTGAACTCGCTTGACCTTTACTTCCGGGTCTACCGGAAGGTCAAAGTTAGGTGAATTCAAAATGAAGACGTTAGCCTGAAATCAAAACAAAGCAACATTTCTTCCGAACGGTTCACGGTATGATCACAAAACCTTGTGTGAACTTGTACCGTGTTACGAAGATGTTATAAATTTTGTTACGTCATCATGACGTCATCAGGTATCAAATTACAAGCGATTTAAGGGCAAATTTTGACAAAATAGTTTGCTTTATATCTTTTGAACTAAATAGAGTATCGTGTTCGTTTTTTCGTGAGGTTGTAGACTATGCCGTGAGAAACATTTCGTGTTCCCGGACGCAAAACCGCTTGACCTTTACTTCCGGTGTTACCGGAAGTGCAATAAAAACTGAATATAACTCAAAAGCGGAAGCATTTTACTACAGACATATATATTATGAAAGTGTTTAGTGAGGAATGCAAGATGCAAAAAACAGTGTGATGACGTCATCATCCGAAAGGGCGCCCCCTATCGGCACATAAAATAGAGTTTCCCTTCTTTAATTGTAAAACCATCCGTCCAAATTTTACCAAATCGCCCCTTGACATTCTCTGATTAACCACAGATAACTTGGCAAGGTTTCAAATTCATGACGTCATCGAACCGGAAGTTGCCTTAAGGAGAATTTGAAAAAGATCATAGTTTTAATTTAATTCTATCATTTGATCCCTGTCATATCTTCGAAGTCCAAATAATGATATCCATTACAATGTTCACCTTTGGATCTCTAATGCTGTGACGTCATCAAACCGGAAGTTAGGTGTTATCAATACGTCATCAAACCGGAAGTTAGGTGTTATTAATACAAACAATTATTTTTCCCATATTTTCATACGTTATTTTAACTTTACAATGAGAAATTATCCTCTACGAACTTAATCAGTATTCACTCACCATTTTTGACTGATGACGTCATCAAACCAGAAATAACTTTTTGTGCACATAGAATGTTTACTGAAATTTATTACACCGTTAAAGATACCTTTTTGAAACATTGATTGTACTTGAAGGGATTTAATGTCCTGATCCTTTTTTCTACATAAACATATACTCTTAACTTAACTGGGCAGTGTATAATGAAAAGGCTGTCTGCCCGACCACTCTGCGTTTGTAACTAAACAAACGGGAAACTCTAGTATTGTATTGTATTGTGTTCGTAATGTATTGTATTTGTATACATGTTTGTAGTCATTTTTTTATTGAATGCAGGGCCCCAATGGAAACCAGTTTTGAACTGTTTGGGCATACCCTGGGTAAAAAAATGTAATACATAAATAAAAATAAATAAATATCATTATTTAAAGACGTTCATAATGTATAAGGACTGTGTCAAGGTTTCAATGAACGTTTTCTTACCCATAAAGCTGCGAGGGACATTGGTTATGTGGATGGTAATGTAGCTTCCCGTCTGTAAACAAAAAAGGGAAAGTGTGTTTAACCGACAAATTCATACAGGTACCTTGTCCATAATTCCTGTTTTCCTGACCTGTGCGCTTTCATCTGTTGAAAGGCGATTCTTTAGAAATTGAACCTAACTTAATTTTTTTGGAAAAACAAAGTTTTTATGTGATGTAATACAAATGGTTATTGTTCACTAAAGTTTTGTTAGAAAGTAAAGATGCAACTTTCGAAAGAAGTTTCATAATTTGGTCTTTCCGAGCATAAATTAGCATAATTTTAATTACAAAATGTAACACTCATGACCGATCAAAGTGTCACACACGTGACCACAGAACAATTCCCATTTAGTAAAACTAAAGCAGAGGGTGTACATTGTTTATGCATTCTGTAAATCACAAAAGACTAGTCTTAATCCAAATTATGTGTCCTTAGAACACTGGAGAAAAGTGTGAATTTCCAGTATGGACCGGATAACATTTTTACGTCTGATGTCACACACGACCAAACTTTGATGACCCCCTCCTAACATTTGACACAATTTGTGAAAGTAGAAACTACACTCTGAGGTAGGGAGTAAAAAGTACAAACCTGACGAATCAGTGAAAGTAACATGTCAGATGTAGTTAACAAGGGGTAAAGCTTCAAAAATCAGACAAGCCCAATTTTATGTCACACAGTGACCAAAGAATGGCCTGAAGTAGTTATAGCTATGAAAGCTTATGCACACTTGCACTCTAGTAAGTACTTTTCCATTTGCTTTCAACTCCAAATGAAATATTAACAAAGCACTTTGACGATTAAGTCAATACATCAGCTCTTCTTCTATAGTAGATGGAGTTTTAAGTGGATATACTGGCTCACCATCCGTGAAGAGTTAAGTAGCAAAAGCTTTTAAGCTCTTAAGAAAATGGACATGGGCATCTTTTCTGTGCTCATCATATGTGTGTTTCACAAGTGAAATAAAAGCAAGACCAACTACAGTCAATCACCCATGTTTACAAGGATGAGCCTGTTGCAAAATTACTTGAGATATATGAATGCATTATACTTTTGAGGCGGCTGTCATGATGTTACGCCTCAAAGCAAAAACAGAAGGTGAACTTTTAACTCTTCTTTTGGGGTTTCTACGCAAGAGAACTGCAAAGGCAATGTTTGGTGTACCTGAGCCCCGCTTTCCCTCGCTTCACCAAGGATGCGTTTGCGTGTGCGGTTGAAATTCTCAAATTGGAAGATGCGAGCGTAGTCTTGGGGTAGGTTCTCCTTTGGGTCCCAGGGTGATGTGCGGAAGCTCTTCAGTCCCCGAAACCTAGCAAAATCAATCAAAGTCAATATATGCTTGCTCTTGTCTTACCAATGTGACTGGCTTCGTCAAAATCCAGGACAAATAGGAGACTGCTTCAGTGAATACATACGACTCAGAGGTTTAACACTATATCCTGGTCATGTTACGGATACTTAAGTTTGATTCTTTAATGCACATGTATAACTTCCCTAATTATTGATTTATATACTGGCCAAATACTACAATATTTCAAACTCCTAAAATGAATAGCAAGAACCGAGGCACCACTTTACAGCAAGTTGGTTGTAATCATAGAGCTATATTACATTACTAGAGCGCTAACTCTTCATTCTTGCACGCGGAAAGGCTTTGAAGCCGCCCTGGGCGCAGACATTTTGAATTCATGTGCGTGTTTGTAAAACGTCGTGAAAATAGATGGAGTAAATTTTGACAGTGTACTCTAAATGCAGCAAAAGACAAATGATCATAACTTACAAAATGCTTTGTCCAATTTATCTTAAACTTTGCATATATACTTAGAATGGAAGTCTGTATTAGAATACCAAATTCAATATTCCATTTTTTTGGGGGGGGGGGGGGGAGGGGAGAGGACTCCCCATACACCCCCACCTGTAAGATGAACCAAAAAACTGGCTCTTTTTAAGCAACCCTCCAATTTTAATACAATTTTACACAAATGCAGATATTGATGTACGTTGCATTTACCTAGCGAATCGTTGCCTTGCTGGTATGTCCATGGGCGTATCCACTTCGTCAGGATACATGACTTGCATACGTTCTTCTCGGTATTTTTCAAGCCTGGTGTGGAAAAAAAATCAAACATCCGAACTAACATTTCATTAGCCAAATGAACAAATATAAAGAAAAAGTGAGTAATGATATTTTTCGGGAGGACTGTTTAATATTTAGGGTAGACTGACATAAAACATAATGGTACAGCCAATTTTTGGGGGGTTTTTTGGAGGGGAGGGGAGTAAGCTTCAAGCTAACCCCAGAAAATCAAGTGATTCCAATGCCTGACTGCTGTTACGACATGTAGCACTAATGCCCAAACCACACAATTCATTCAAGTTGTGTCATTTGTGCTGCCCTCAGTGACAACATTTGGACAACTGAAACAAGCAGGCCCAGATAGGATGAGACACAAATTCTCAAAAGAACCTTTAAAAAAAAATTAATAATTTTATGCTAAAAATATGTGTATATACTGTGCTAACAAATTTTGTTCTTATTGGGTTTGCAAAGAACTTCATAGAGTAAGTTTGGATAGGACCATTAGTCGACCATTGGTTGATTCATGACGTAACTTATGCCAGCGCACTAAAATCAATGTGCCATGTCTAGTCAAACGCTGGTCAAAACCTCACCACAAAACGTCTTGGATCTGACTTCTTGCTGTGCATTTTTGCTCATGTGCATATAGGTGGACTGCGAAAGCCCATTAGCGCCACTGCAAGTAATTGTTAGTAATCGTTATTACTGATTACTAATTCATTATTACGGATTATTTAATTCATTATTACGGATTATTTAATTCATTATTATGGATTATGTAATTCATTATTACAAATGATTTATTTCATTATTAGGAATTACTAATTCGTTATTACGAATTAAATCTGATACTGTCATGCGGAGAGCACGTGATCAGAATGCACTGAGAGCTGGATAGTGTTTAATCAAAATTTCGGGAACATATCCCCAGATTGTCTTAAAGCATACATGTAGTATCATCGACCCTGATCACAGAATGGCCATTCTTAAGTTTCGCTAGATCAGACTAAGGCCCTTTGGCGCCATGCCAAGTGGGGCCAATTTTACATTTAATCAAATTTTGAGAACAAGATAAAAAAGTAACATTTGATAGTTTGGAACTTGTAGATTAAGAGTGTTAAGAGTGACTTTAGACTAGACTAATTAACTTAATAGCGGCACGAAAAGTGCGGAGGGGGGCGGGGCCACAACCCCCTCCGTGTAAATTTTTGCCCCAATCGTCCCAAAGCAATTTTCCGTACTTTTCGCGCTGCTCTTAAGTTAATGGCTCTAACCCAAAATCACTATTTAGTCATATTTTAATGTTCCACAAGTGCCAAGAAGGCACTAATACAAGCTGGTTTCATTTTCTCCTCTACCGTTGTGTTGCAACGGCATGAGCGAAAAGGAAAAGGTTAAAGTGACGGCCACGCTCCTCCCCCTCCGCGCTTTTCGCGCTGCTCTTACATGTAAGTTAATTAGTCTGATCTAAAATCACTCTTACGTTAGTTCCATAATCCACAAGTTCAAAACTATCAAATGATACTTTTTGATCTTGTTCTCAAAATTTGATTAAATGTAAAATTGGCCCCATTTGGCATGGTGTCAACGAGCCTCCGTCTGATCTGGCCAAACTTTTTGAGCTGGTCACTCTGTGATCAGGGTCGATGATACTATGCTTTAAGACATTCTGGGGATTTGTTCCCGAAATTTTGATTTAACCCTCTTCAGCATTTAGTGCATTTCTGATCATGTGCTCTCCGCATGTGAGTGTCAGATTTAATTCGTAATAAAGAATTAATAATTTGTAATAACGAAATAAATAATCCGTAACAACGAACTAAATAATCCGTAATAATGAATTAATAATTCGTAATAACGAATTAAACAATCCGTAATAACGAATTAGTAATCCGTAATATAGAATTATATCCGTAATAACGAATTACTAACATATACTTGCAGTGGCGCTAATGGGCTTACGTAGTAGACAAATATGAGGCAAAGAATAAAAGTATTGGAAGTGTATGTAACATAATTTAAACTAAAGATGAAACTACTTCAGTAATGCAAACCTTTTCCTTGTACTCACATTACTTGTTCTTGTTCCTCGTCATAATCAGCATCATAATTAGCTTTGTTGCCCTCAGTGATACTAATCTGGAAGAAAAAAGGCCAGGATCCCAAATCATCATTACTTTCAACAGAGTTGTAACGAGTCACTGATTTTTGTGACTCGAGTCGAGTCGAATCATTTTAAAGAAGTGACTCGAGTCGAGTCGAGTCATTTTAAAGAAGTGACTCGAGTCGAGTCGAGTCATTTTAAAGAAGTGACTCGAGTCGAGTCATTAGGTCAAAAGGTCGAGTCGAGTCGAGTCAAATATTTAGCTCGAGTCAATTCGAGTCACGATTATTTGAACACTATATACCAAAATTTATAAAAGGAGGCCATAAGTTTAGCCAGCGTTCGAATCCAAGACCTTTATAAGAAATCGCCCAAAACCAATGATAAAACAGCGAATTAGAAAATGTGTTTAAAAATCTGGTTCCTGGATAGTATTTTGTGCGTTCTAGAACCATGAGATGGGAGTCTGTGACACGTTGTATATTTGTACATGACTGCTATTCGCAAAGTAAAGTGAGCATAAATTTTGCACCGTAAGTCATTGCAAATACTTTTCGCAAAGTTGCGCTTTTATTTTTGGGACTCGAGTCTTATTAGCCTTCGCTCGAGTAAAGTCAAGTCTTCTGATGAGGGACTCGAGTTGAGTCGAGTCATTTGCTCGCAGTGACTCGAGACGAGTCGAGTCATTTACCCTTAGGGACTCGAGTCGAGTCGAGTCACCAAAAATTGTGACTCGAGTCGGACTTGAGTCGAGTCATTGACTCAAGTCATTACAACTCTGCTTTTCAATACTTAATCATAAATATATCCTATGGAAGTGTAGATAGGACATGGTTAAAAATAAATCTAATTCGTACGTACGAATTACTAAACCGTACGTACGAAATACTAATTCGTACGTACGAAATACTAATTCGTACGTATGAATTACTAAACCGTACGTACGAATTACTAAACCGTACGTACGAATTAATAAATCGCACGTACGAATTACTCAGTGGCGTAGCCACGGGAGGGGGGGCGTGGGGGCAGTGGCGTAGCCAGAAATTTTTCAATATTTAGCTCGAGTCAATTCGAGTCACGATTATTTGAACACTATATACCAAAATTTATAAAAGGAGGCCATAAGTTTAGCCAGCGTTCGAATCCAAGACCTTTATAAGAAATCGCCCAAAACCAATGATAAAACAGCGAATTAGAAAATGTGTTTAAAAATCTGGTTCCTGGATAGTATTTTGTGCGTTCTAGAACCATGAGATGGGAGTCTGTGACACGTTGTATATTTGTACATGACTGCTATTCGCAAAGTAAAGTGAGCATAAATTTTGCACCGTAAGTCATTGCAAATACTTTTCGCAAAGTTGCGCTTTTATTTTTGGGACTCGAGTCTTATTAGCCTTCGCTCGAGTAAAGTCAAGTCTTCTGATGAGGGACTCGAGTTGAGTCGAGTCATTTGCTCGCAGTGACTCGAGACGAGTCGAGTCATTTACCCTTAGGGACTCGAGTCGAGTCGAGTCACCAAAAATTGTGACTCGAGTCGGACTCGAGTCGAGTCATTGACTCAAGTCATTACAACTCTGCTTTTCAATACTTAATCATAAATATATCCTATGGAAGTGTAGCTAGGACATGGTTAAAAATAAATCTAATTCGTACGTACGAATTACTAAACCGTACGTACGAAATACTAATTCGTACGTACACTGTACGAAATACTAATTCGTACGTATGAATTACTAAACCGTACGTACGAATTACTAAACCGTACGTACGAATTAATAAATCGCACGTACGAATTACTCAGTGGCGTAGCCACGGGAGGGGGGGCGTGGGGGCAGTGGCGTAGCCAGAAATTTTTCAGTGGGGGGGGGGGGCGGCGCTGGGGGGCTGGAACATTTCATGGGGGGGTGTCATGTAGATCAATGATAATTTTTTTAGAAACTCAAAATCTCAGTGGGGGCGACTGGTGGGCGACAATGTTTCATGGGGGGCTGTCACCCCCACGCCCCCCCCCCCCCCCCTGTGGCCACGCCACTGCGACAGCCCCCCCCCATGAAACCTTGTCCCCCCCAAGTCGCCCCCCCCCCCCCCCACTGAGATTTGAGTTTCTAAAAAAATTATCATTGATCTACATGACGCCCCCCCCCCCCACCTGAAATGTTCCAGGCCCCCCCGGCGCCCCCCCCCCCCCCCCCCCACTGGAAAATTCCTGGCTACGCCACTGGAATTACTAAACCGTACGTACGAAGTACTAAATCGTACGTACGAATTACTAAACCGTACGTACGAATTACTAATTATTTCGTACGTACGATTTAGTAATTCGTACGTACGGTTTAGTAATTCGTACATACGGTTTATTAATTCGTACGTACGATTTAGTAATTCGTACGTACGGTTTAGTAATTCGTACGTACGAATTAGATTTATTTTTAACCATGTCCTATCTACACTTCCATAATATCCAGAAAGGTTGCCAGATAATATAAAATGACATTAAGGAGAAATTCAGAAAAAAAAAACACAAAAAAGGAAGGGAAATGTTTTCAGAGAGAACGTACCTGATTCTCATTTCTTTAAAACCCTAACCTCACCTAAAGCTACAAAATACTACTGTGTAGTAACCTGTAGTATGCATTCTTTCCATACAAGTGTGCACAACACACGTAGTATTCTGTAGTATTTGGCCCTTGACCCAAAAAGAACCCTAATTAGGATGGGAGGGTTAAAAGAAACAATTTTTCCCAAACGACCACACGTGATCAAATATTTTCAAACATTCAAAACATGTTGCCAACCTTAGAGACATCATCCATCAATCTAGATGCAAAATTAATGGACTTGTAATTTCTTTTAAGGAAAAATACAACATTTGCAAACATCAAAAAATAAAACTACCAAATCGTTTTGAAATACCTTGCTGGACTGTTAGTGAATGACAGTGTAAAGCATCCTGTAAAATCATGGCACCTGGTGTACTGTCATTTTCAAAAAAAGTGGTATTTTTGTATCAATTTCCAACGCTGGTCGGCCGACCAGCGTTGGAAAAAACTGGCTTCAAGTTTTTTCAAATACTGGCCCCAATTGACCATCGCACTTGTTTGCAATCGATTACACACCTATGAACAGGTACAAGCCAGCTAGACTGGTTCCCTGACCTTACAATTCCCAATGTATGTAAACTGCTTTGTTTCTTCGTATATGGAGTCAGGGAACCAGACTACAGGGAAATGATTGTTTTTCTTGGTTTTTATAGCATTTTCGAATCCAAAACCTCAAAAAAGTCAGTGTAACTATATTTGCTATATATTTCCAACCCCCCAATTCCATCCATTGCTGAAAATTACAGCAAAAGCAAATGATGTATATTCCCTTTAATGGAACCCTAATCAATCACAATGAGCAGGAAATTGGACAGTAATGCAAGCACAGTCTGTGCCTGAGTTTGAAGAAACCTCTTTGCCACTAATAGGAAGTAGTTTGAACTGGTTCCTAGGTAAGAAGTGATTCGTTACTCTGTCATGTTTGTAGCAGCCTAATCGAAAAATGCCCACATGAAAACAAAACTCCAGAATTTGATAACTGGACAAAGGCTCCACCAGCCCCCCCCCCCCCCCATCACATTCCCATTTCCTTAAAAGAAATATTTCTTCCCAGACAACCACACATGATCAAATATTTTCAAACGATCAAAACATTTTCCCAGCCTTAGAGTCATCATCCATCAATCTAGATGAAAAATTAATGGACTTGTAATTTCTAAAATGGAACCCCAATCAATCACAGTGGGCAGGAAATGGACGGTAATGCAGGCGCAGTCTGTACTTGAGTTTGAAGAAACCTCTTTGCTGCTAACAGCAAGAGATTTGAACTGTCTCCTATGTAAGATACAGTGATTGGTTACTCTGTCATGTTTGCGGCAATCTACAAAGAAAACATATTTTTTTGACTGAAAAAAAAGAAGGGAAAAAACAACAGAATTTGACTACTGGGCAAAAGCTCATACTGACTCTGAAGTCACAGTCTGGAAAATATACACCAAAAGTCTTTAATCTCACCATCCAGGACTTTTGTCTAGGAACCGTCCTCAATCCTGCAAAATGCTCCTATTGCCACTTTGTAAACATTAGATTTAGCCTTATTCCTCCAAAATCACCTGTTATTTCTTGAATTTGTTCAGTGGAGGGGTGACCATTACCAATATCCTCCAACAATCACTGTTCATGGGCTGAGGCAGTGCCGATGACTATCAGAAGCAGTGCGGATGATATTGAGCATAATGCTGGGTACAGCCTACGAACTCGACAATGCATCCTCCAAAATCATCCGGCACTTTTTGCCATTCAGCCTCAATCCTCCAAAATCGCCTGGAGGATTGAGGAGGATTAGGGTTAATTGAATTCTCCTATAACAAATTTTCATTTCAAAACTTCAAACAACACCGAGAAGTAACTCATTCTTAAACTTGGAGCACCAAAGTAAACGTACGAACCCCAAAGAATAAACCAGGTGTTGGATTTGTGCAAGATTGGGAAGGTTAGGGATGGATAAGCTATGGTATACCACTTTGGGGAAATAAAATTTAGTCATCAATGACTCACGCTTCAAATGGGGCACATGCATTAAAAAAATATGCCTTGAGAACTTTCAAGCTTATTACAGTTCCCTGAAAAGGAATTACATGTATCCCACACATGGGGAACGAGAATTGCTTTCCTTAAATACATCTTTCTTAAATGGTAAATGGATAACCGAATGCTACAGCAACTAATGGTAACCTTTTAATGGATAGAATGCACTTTCACGTCAATTTGTTTACATTTATTATATTTCAACATTCATTACAAGCAGTCAAGCACATCCCACATGTCCCATGCTACCACTCAATCAAGTAAAGAGACATAACATGTCAAATGATCTATAGTAAACACATCGCAACAAAATTGAATCAGAGACACGTCAGGCTACAGAAACGCATTCAACCTGACGTTTTCAGTGTGGAGATGTAGCAGGACTTGCTCAGAAACCTTTGTCA